GTTGGAACAACACATTAATGACTCGAACAAGTTTTTAAATTATTAAAAGAGGCCGGTCTTACAATTAACGCCTCAAAATGCAAGTTCGCAACTAAAGAACTTAAATATCTCGGTTATAAAATTTCGCAAAAGGGTATAGAAACGCAAGATTCAAAAATAAAAGCTATTAAGAATTTCCCACCGCCCAACACCGCCAAGAAACTTTCTTCTTTCCTTGGGTTATGTTCTTACTATCGATCTTTCATAAAAGATTTCGCTAATATTGTTGAACCACTCTTAGTAATCAAAAGAAAAAAGAGTAAATTTACGTGGACAGCGGAAGCTAACACAGCTTTTGAAAGATTAAAAGAAGCGCTTATTAATGCCCCTGTTTTAAAATTCCCTGAGGGGGACGAAAACCTGGAAATTGCAGCAGATGCGTCAGACTATGCGGTGGGTGCGGTTCTTATGCAAAATAACCATCCGCTGGCATTTTTTAGTAAAACATTGAATCAGACACAAAGGAATTATACAGCTACAGAAAGAGAAACATTAGCCGTATTAATGGCTGTACACAAATTTCGAGTTTATTTCGGCAAATCGCCAGTAACAGTCTTTTCGGATCATGCGGCTGTTGGTAGACTTTACTCGGGAAAAAACCTAACGCCCAGGTTAATAAGATGGGCTTTAAAACTCCAAGAATATAATATCACAATAAAATATAAACCGGGTAAGGAAAACAATGTAGCTGACGCACTTTCTCGTATAAAACTGGACGATGAAGGAAATGAACTTAAATGCGCTGTGTTGACTTCAAAAATTTTAGATTCTAGAGATACGGTTATTACTGAACTGAAAGCTGATCCTGAATTTGGAAATATCTATGCTTATTTGAAAGACCCCGAAAGCTTTGAGCACACAGATATCGATGCGATAAGAAATAGAGCAAAAAACTATGAAATAATAGATAATTTATTATTCTATACGAAAACAACAAACGAAAATCTTGAGTATAAACCAGTCATCCCAGCCTCGCTTCGATTAAGCATTTTGAAGGAATTACACGATGCGAAAAAACAGCGGGCCACCTTAGGGGTCAGAAAGACTTTAAAAAGGGTACGCGAGGCGGTATATTTCCCGCAATTATACAAAATAGTAACGGCGTATGTCAGGTCCTGCAATCAATGTCAGTTAATAAATGATATTAATTACAGCCCGGCCGGGTACTTAAATAGCATTCGCGCTACATTTCCGAATGAAATTTTAGGCATAGATCTTCTTGGTCCCTTCCCCCAGAGCGAGTTAAATAAAAATCGTTTTCTTTTAGTAATAGTAGATCATTTTTCAAAATGGACAGAAATTGTTCCACTTAAACGCGCGTCAGCCAAAACAGTCGCAGATGCATTCTTACACAGATACATTTTAAAATACGGTGCACCGATAAAAGTCATTAGCGATAACGGAAAACAATTCATTAGTCAAATATTTGAAAACATATGCAATGGACTTGGCATACGCCATATCAAAATGGTTCCGTATAGACCACAGGCTAAACATAGCAGAAAGAGTTAATAAAAACATTGTAAAAATAATTCGCAGTTACGTTAGCACACATCACAAGCGCTGGGATGGCTACATAAATGAATTAGCTTATGCTTTAAGAACGGCACAATCATGATACTACGGGAAAAACTCCAGCAGAATTATTTTTAGGCAGAAAGTTAATTACGCCTTTAGATAAATTATTCTTTGTGCAACAAAGAGAGCAGGAGTTTTAAACAAAAGATGTGCAAAAGTTATTGATCAGGCGCTTAAAACCTCGGATACGGCAAGAAATAGGCAGAAAATTTATTATGATAGAAAACGCCGTGAAGCAGATTTTAAAGTTGGGGATAAAGTATTGAAGCGGAAATTTTCTTTATCAAGTGCCCCAGACAATTTTATGGCAAAGCTAGCTCCAAAGTTTGAAGGCCCCTATGTAATTCAGGAAATCAAAGGAGTAGTATTATATCTTAAGAACGAGAGAGGGGAAATCTGTAAAGCAAGTCCCGACCAGGTGAAAAAATACTATAATCCAAATGATTTTGAAATCCTTAAAAGTTTCTTGCAGGACTCAAGTCTAAACGAAATAGAAGGTCCAGAGACTAACAACAACTATTCCACCACCCAAGAAACAGAGAACTGAAGAGAGACCTAGCACTTCTACAACCCGGACGACGGTCGGTATCAAAAAGAAAAATGATTTTCAAACTCCGGCGTTTAAGAAAAACAAAAATACAGATGAACCGGGTAAAGAAACCGTGGTAAAGAGAAAAACAAACCACCACCTACAAAGGATGCAGGAGAAATTACACATCAAGGAGAACGCGCACACGGCCACAGAGTCAGGTGCCAGCAAGGCCGCCGTTCCGGAAACTGAAACGCCAACAGGAGGCACAAAAATACGAGGAACAGAAGAAATTCAAGAAGGACTCCAGACCGGAGGACGTCAAGACCAGCCGTCCCAGGCAGAAACGCAAAGGCCAACAACCAGACGATTACTCCGTCCAAGAGGCCAGCATGTAGAGGACGCAAAAGAAAAAGCAACGGGGACGACACTCGGAGATCAATAAGGAGAAGATTGACATCCATGAAACCTCTAACTTGGGATCAATTTTGCCAAAAACGGAATGACGGAGTTTCAAGCATCGAAAACTCAAAGATAAGTTAAAACCTTCTATAAATTTTTTTTCTCTTTTGTTCCGAAATGTTATGCATAAGTACGAAGTTCTATGTTTTGACGAAAGTCAATATGTCTCGGTTGAGACTTAGTTTTGTTTTACTTTATTTAGCTAAGGCAAAAGTATTATTTTCTTTAAGTGTAAAAGCTAAAAACAAGCATTTTCTGTTGGTCGAAAGACTAATTCTGTTATGTTAAAGCCAAAATTTGGCCGGAAGATAAAAATAACTTCGTATTCTTGTATTAATAAGAATTTTAGTTTCAGTGCCGCCAGCTTGGCGAAGAATGAGTAAAGTAAAAATTTATTTTCTCTTATTCATTTTATGGTAAATTGTAAAAATCATATGTATTAAAATTTTGTAAATGTACGTAAATACTTGTATGTAAAAGTAGAATTTAGTCTAGAAGCATAAAATTGTAGATGCTAAAAGTGAATGCTTAAAAGCAATGAAGTCAAAATTTAAGTATTAAACTGTAGATAAAGTCATGCTTTAGAGCGAAAGCCTGCATGTTTAAAGATGAATGAGGGGGAAGTTAGAATGAATGTGTTTTGTAGGGTTCTCCACCTACATTTGAATTTTTAAGAATATTAAAGTAGCTCATTGAGTTGTAGAATGTCGAGTAAGGTGTGTCTATTTGGTCGTTGAATTCTAACAAATCATGGTGGTTAGGGGAAGTGTTGTAAGACTAAAACACGAATATTCCCGTTTGACACCACACACGGTGGAGAGCCAGGGTAAAGTTAAATTAATGCTTGAAAAATTGAATGAATGTGAAGTTAAGCAATAACTAAGAAAAACGAATCGTTTAAAAACAAAAATTTATTGTGTCAAGAAAGTGTAAATTATAATGTATGTAGAAAGATACTGATACTTATTCCTTCCAGATGCTGGAAGGAAAGACCAAGATTGATTGATGAAGTCCAGGAAAAGTTGCTGTAAGAAGAAAGCTTTGTAACGACAACAGAATTTAGTATATAATTGTTACATAAGATTTTTTTTTTGTAAACGAGGTTCTCTTCGCAGTTAGTTCAGAATTAGATAAACTTACAACAGGTCGTTTGTAGGACCTGCTTCCAAGTTTTCCAAATTCTGGCAGCGGCAAATGTAGGGTTTATATTTATTTTAACTAACATTTATTTTAAGTTTAAACTATCTTTCCTGTCAAGCCTTACTTTCCCCTGGAACTGCCAATGCCAGAATATGTAAATTTTAGTAGAACGCGCAAGGATTCAAATTATCAGCGGAAGTATTCTTATGATTTAAATAGAAGGAAACGAGTTCGGTGTGTGAGATTCTTACTTCAGCGAGCGCGGAGGTAGTTAGCGAGAATTGAAGAACCCCGCGTTGCGGCCTATGTGCTTGGCGGGAAGTAGTGTTAATTGTTCCAGTGAGCTTCAAGTCTGCTGAATTAGCAGCGGTATTGTAAAACGCGGTGAGTTAGTTATTTTAGAGAGCCTCGTAGTTAGAATCTTGTCTTTACTTTCTTTTCAGGTTATTATTTTTATTTGACTGCCAAGTTGGCACAGTCTGTAAGCGTCAAGAGAACGCAATTGTAATTTATTACGTTGAATAAAAAGGGACTTAAACCCTTCACAAGGTTCTATCTTTTATACAAGTTTTCACAGTCACCTCTTGGTTGCGTGCAAGTTGTAGGCGCGCAACGTTATAATTAAATTAATAATAATATAAATGCATTATTTTAATCTTCTCTCTGTATTGAATTAATCAAGACTTGTAATAAATCAGTAAAAAAAAAAGGCTATGGTTTAAAATGGTTATAAAGATAATAAACTGAAGCTATGGAAGTTAAAAACAAATAAAGAGAAGTCTAACATATTTTTCGTTAAAAATAATTAAAATTAAAAAAAAAGTAGTGAGATTAGGCTATGCCACGAAGTATCCTTTTTAATTCGCATCAATAATAATATATAATTGCATGAGTTCTGAAATTAAAAAAGAGAATACACTTCAATAAGAGGCTTTGCTGAGGGTTTTTAATCCTGAAAATTGTGTCCTGATTCAACATTTTAATGTTTTGAAATCATGAACTCCTGTTAAGATTTAAGCAGTCTAGCAGGTTCCATCATCGTTTTGAAAAAAAAAAAAAAATATGAAAAATGTTTTTTTTTTCCCTCTTTTTTTTTTCTGAAATTTATGTGGCCATAGTTGGCATTGTGAAAAATTTTTCGTTCTTCTTTAATTGGGGGGAGATGTGAAATACAAATCTAGTATGTTTTAAGCATGTCAAGGTATGTCAATAATCTTACTTTCATTGGTATGTGATTGAAACCACAGCTCACCTTGGTATTTAGAAAAGTAGGTGTCGTTCAGTCGAGAGTGGTTCACGTCTTTCCACAGACAAATAGGAAAAGAGGGCGTAGGAGTGGCAACAACCAGTTCTCCCCTCTGTCCAACAACAGAATTTCCTACAAGCAAAAACATTCACATTAAGTAAAAGAAAGTATATTTTCACGATATTTATGATGTGATGAAAGTTTAACACAGAAATTACTATTTCTGTGGCAATAGTGTGAACCAGATTGTTTGGCAAAATAAATCTGATAACCTTGTAAGTTTGTGCTAGTTTAAAAAATACGGACTGGTGAAAAATGATAGAATAAAATATGTGCGAAGCGTTTTAATGCTATTTTAATGAATAGAGAACAGCAACTAATATTTGTTTTGGTTATTAGCGGTTACTGCACTATATTACAAAGATTAAATTAAAATGGTAAAGCACGTGGATCTTTGCATTTAAGCATATACAGCATGCGCCAGTTTAGAATAACGTAAATTTTGAAACAAGAAAATAAATGAAGATTCTGCTTATCTTTCTATACCTTTTGACACAGAAAGACGCCAAATTTCTTTATAAATTTTAATTAAAATCTTTATACAGGGTGTTTCAGCAAATAGGTTACATACTTTCAGGAGAGGAGCAGGACATCTAAACGACGGAAAATTACATAGTAATGTATTACCGGAAACGCTTTCTTAGAGCGGTTGTGACGACACAAAAAAGGAACGACACGAATAGTGTGAAAAAACATGTCTTATTATGTTTAGTATAGCAGAAACCAAGAAATAAGAACAAAAACAAGCAATGATCGATATTAAAGAAGGTGTTCGAAATTACGAATCCGGACCGTGATGCAGGCCTCACATCTCGGCGCATGGAAGATCGTATGGAAGATGCATGACGCACGGTTTCTATATGACAATCCGGATCGGGTCGTAATTTCAAACACCTTCTTTGCTGACGATCTTCTGCTTTTGCTCGTATTTCTTGGTTTCCGCTGGCAGTAAGCATAAATATTATTCTCACTCAGTTCATGTCCTTCCTTTCTTGTGTTTTGTGTCGTCACTACCACGCCAGGAAAGAGTTTCCGACCATGCTGTGTGTGTTTCCATTGTCTCTGTCTCTCCTGAAAAATTCTAACTGATTTGCTGAAACACCCTTTATATTGGAAGACCATTAATTATTTCTTACATAATTATCTGTGATGTGGAAATATAAAAAATAACGTCCAGTTTCTGAGATCACAATCAAGAACCAATCGTTGGTCTTTGATGTCATTTCGGAAACGTCTGCGCAGAATACTATGTTTGTAAAGAATAGAGAATGTGCCTTTTGGTTTTTCGAGTTAATTCCAGAAAATTTCTCCGAATCATTGCAGTTGACGTTTTGTGCCTTTCTTGCAGGAAGTCAGTTATGCTTTCTGTTACATTTTCCTATGAAAACTTTGATCCTTTTAGTAGCACATTTATAAACACTATAGAGCTATGGAAAAATATTTATGTCTTTATCTCTTGCTTTGCAAAACAGGTCATTAATTATCATGTCAATCTAATGAATGAGCATAATTTGACATTTACCTTTGTGATCGAAGCATCGAATATCAACTCCAAGAGCCGGTCCTTGAATTTCACCGCCATAAGATGGAGAATTAAGATCGAAGCCAGAAAAAGCACCAAAAACTTCTGTAGCACCTACCAAATAAGATGAAATTATAAATTTAATTAATTAAAGTAAATAGTATGATTTGACCTAAGGTCAAATATATTAGATTTTATTTAATCATTATGTACTTCTTCTTTGCAGTGTTGTTGATCTGCAGCCAGCGGGAGCTCAATTTCACAAATTTAGAATTTTAGTTTATTGCAACTATGGACAGAAATCGAGTTTCCAACAAAAATGCGGAGTTAAATACGCAATAAATAAAAAATATCATGTCTTAAGTTGAGATACACAGTAAAAATTTATATTATAAATATCTACAGTATTACATTATATTATTGTATATTATGTAACCATAAATACACAAAAAGTAAATTACATTTAAATAGGTCGTAAGAAGAAATAATAATTAAAAACGTTTAATAATTTACAACGTTTATAATTATTTCATTAAAATGCTTATGATTATTTCTGATCATTCATAAAAATACTCTCAATTCTTTTCGATCAGTAATACGCCTCAATATCAGAGATCGGAATCAAAAATAAATTCCAATACGGAGATATAAAACATTAACTGCTCAACATGCTCAGTATCGCCGATTTGGCGAGAACTGAAGAGATTTAGGGGAGCATTACTGTTTCTAGTGTCAGTAACGGAATATTGTTAAACAAGTGGGAAATAAGAAAACGCTTAAAAATTTTCTTGCCAAAACACTTTTTCAAACAAATATTCAAACATTCACTTGATTTGCACAAATATTTCTGTCATGTATCTCTACACGAATCATACTAAATCATGTCAGTGAATGATATTAAATTAGGTTCAAGCTGCATGTAGATTTATTTTTCGATTCCAAGGGAATAGAATTGTCAACTATCAGTCTAATACTCTGAAAACGTTACAAATGGGATCCAAAGATAAGATCCAAAATCCAAAATAATCATATATATGATCAAAGATCCAAAATGTTCACAAATTTGATAACCAAAGATTCATTGTATGACGAGTTTTAATTAATAATTGAACGAAGTGCAATAAATATACCTGAAACCTTTTAAGTTTTTTCAGTCAGTATTCACGTATCACAAGTAGAAAACATCTAATATTGTAAACCAACCCGTGGTAGAAATACTCTACAGGATAAGCAAAAAAATTATTTAAAAAAAAAAAAAAAAAGTAAAGTCGGGAAAAAAAAGTTTTATAAAAAATGCTGACCGAAAAGCAAAATGTTAAAAATGCTAAAATTTAACAATTAAATCAAAAATAATTGTGGTGCTTTTCTGTGTTATATGTATAAGTTTAGAAGCCATCTAGAATTCGCCTTAAGTGATTGGTCCCTTGCATAAATTGAAGATAACCAGTACCTTCATGCTTCCCGCAGCATCCTGAGGTCGTCCTGGAGTATCTGACTTCAGGATCTCGAGAGTTGGGAAACCAACTTCGCACTCTGCTACCATTTGCGAGTCACCGACACTCGTTTGAGCTTTCAGCGATTATTGAATTTTCAAAGTGTTACGTACAAGACATTAGTAGATATACATACTTATACATACTTGAAGTAGATATACATGGCTTCTTGATACCTATTTCACATTCGTTGTTGATACGTACCAAGCATTAGCATAGCGAAAAGGATAGCTTCTACATATTCGTCTATGATACATTATTCACTTAGGTCTTTTTATAAATGCTTACTATCTTTTATTCATCTGGAAGAGATTACATAGATGCTATTCATAATTTACATACGATTTGATTTTCCAAAAGTTTTCAGTGCGACCGTTACTAGCAGAAATATATTCCAAAGTACCGTGATTAGTTGTAACTAGTCTAGCTCACAACAGTAATAATGAACCACCAACGGATAAGCGGTAGAACAGCTGAACGCAATTACTTCGGCCAAGTTCTGATCCCAACGAACGGGTTAACTATACAGGAGTTATGGTTTCTCTCCATCTGTAAGAGGAATGCGAGCAAATTTTCTCAAGAAAGTCCTCTAAGAAAAAACCCTTCGCTTAGTATGATAGCTCTCATATGCTTAATTTAAAATCTTAATGAGTAATAATAGTCATAAGTTTCTTTTCCATTCGTATTACTTGTAGTTTACAATTTTCCTCATTCTCCCACTGAGTATCGATAAAATAATTGGCAGTCAAACCTATTTTCAGCAAGGTGAATTCTCTTTCAAAAACAATAGCCTTCATTCCAGCCCATTTGCCAAAACCACTGAGTCTTCAAAATGGTTAGCACAAATGCCAAATCAAAGCTCTTAGTTCTACGCGAGGATCTACTTTTCAACTACTTAATTCTTTTATACATAAGCAACACTTTTCCTTTTAAAAATCCTAAAAAAACAAAAGCCAGTTCAATATAAAATCCACACTAAAGCTGTTTTGAATGTCACTGCATAAAGATAACTAAATTATTTACTTGATGAATCTCTCTGTACTAAAAATGTGATTTTTTTATATCAGAGACGTAACTTTGATATCAGAAAAAAACTTGATGATTCATTCAGTAATGAAAATATAATGTCAATATAACATATTGGCACTTCTTACAAAATCATCAAGTGATTACTTTGTTTATATTGAAATAGATATGTGGTTGAAAAGCTGATCTTCGCACAGAAATGAAACTACCGCGGATAACAACTCTGATAAGCGCTAACCACTTTTAAGGATTCGGCGGGTTTATCAGTAGAGGTCTGGGTTGAAGCTACTCTTGCATGATATAGGCCGACCGTGGTAAAGAAACTTCAAACAGCTGTCCCCACAAACACAAAAAAAAAAAAAAAAAAAAAAAAAAAAAGATGTATTCTGATAAACATTTAAAACATAAATTTTCCCCCCTCACATGACATGAGGACAGTTCCAGTTTTTTTATAAAGCATGCAGAAATATTCCATCAAACGGAAGCATGAAAACTTCGTTACTGTTACGTAACTTTAAAAAAAAGTACGCCCAAAGGGGTGTCTTTTTAAATTTACTCACACATACACGTTTCGAGAGCATTTGGGCTAAAAATATTTTAAAAAAGGCCTATCTTTAAAATTTTCGATAGACACTCTCCCGCGCTGGAGATTAAAATGTTTTCTTCGATACAGTGTTGAGACTCCTCTCTTTGAAATCGTTGAATTTCATAATGAAGTTCGTTAAAGTTTTGCAAAATATGAAACAGATAATAAAACAAATCCTAAATTCCAAATTCGCGCTTCTATGTACCCGTATTCGGGTGGAGGACTACGTTATTCAAAATTTGATGGCCCTAGGTAGCGTTGTTCTTTTGCAGTGCGAGAAACATATATGTATTTATGCAGATTCTTCATTATTTAAATTCTTTAAATATAATATAGGGCAAAAATTTAAAAAGTGATACAACGCTTTTAGTGATTCAACGCAAAATGCTGTTTTGAGACTAAAAGCCCTTCTGGACTAACGCACCGTTGGGCTAAAAAAAATCCCGATTACAAATAAAAAAAAATTACTTTTTTCCAATGCCTGTATAAAGGTCTTCAAATAAAATATTTTTTCTTGTCATCTAATATAGACAATTAAAATGCGATTTAAGCGTCCTTTAAAATACGTTATCTTATCTTAAGAACGGTAAATTTCATATAGCAGATGAAAGCTCTTTGTACTGAAAATGTTGTTCAATGTTGGTCTGCAGAAGTGATTATTCGAAAATTTAACAGCATGCCATTCGAAAAGAATGTGAAATTCTCTGAGAAACAAAGGCATGATACTGAACTGATGATACTGAACAGACAGTAATTAAAAGAATAAAAAAATGATCCTTTTTTTTCTGTACAGATTGATGAGTGCGCCGATGTATAGAAAGTTTCGATCTTGCATTTTTTGCGAGATATAAAAAATAAGAAAATGTTTGATGAAAATGTACTGCGCAGTTCTTTCGGAGAAAGATGCTTGTTGTCATTTACAAAATGTTTGCTTCCATTTACAAACTGTGAATTTGTAGAAACAGCGTTCTCATGTTTACCGTAATAAACGGAATACTAGTCCTGAAATAAAACTATTTCTACCATTGATCATGACTTCAGAAAATTGAACTCAATGAGGTGGACTACCCACCAGCGGCCGAGCGGTAAAAGCCGCTGAATATTAGTAGCTCGTATAGGGTTCGAGTCCCAACGAACTGCATGGGTTCGTTGCTGCTGTAGCTGCATGGGTGTTTTCGGGGTTTTTCTTGTATGTAACGTGGATACGAACCAATTTCCCTTAAAAAGACCTCCACGGAGCATCCTTTCCTTCCGTGTAGTGCCTGAGGGTAAAGCACATAATAAGTAAAAAAAAAAGGAGGTGGACCGAAGAATTAGGTCTATAATGACGGCTGTCACCTTGACTACCTTGGACTATTCGTAACAGTCAAGAGGACTATCTTATTAAAGTTAGTATTGAAAGTAATTTTTATGGACTTTTAGGTTTATAATACTGAACTACTTATTATTTGCTTAAATGTCATATGGGCTATAAGTCTTTTGACAAGTCTTAATTTTTGCCTATTTTTTAATATGAAATACTTATATTTAATAAGAAAAACTTACGTAGTCATTAACTTAAAATTTATTATACGCTTTGCATTTTAATGAGGTACAGCGCTATTTCAATAATGCTTTGATTTTACAGCTCTGTAGAAAGATCTAGTTTGTAACCATTATCAATTCCATTCTTTTTCTCACTTTCCTCTTACAAAAACTGATTTTAATATATAATAATTCAATACATTAGTAATCTTATGTTAAATATATGTGTTAATGGTGTTTATTTGAAATAAGTAATGTAATTAGACAGTCATTGTTTGATTATATTTTTGTAACCTCATTCATTGCCGTTTATTACATTTTTAAGAAGAACGTTAGGTTGTTGTTGTCTTGTCCATATTACATGGAACAATGGTTGCCAAAGCTTACTCCAATTTTCCACCTTCAGTTTTTAGTGAGAGCACCCCGGGGTCTCCCATCCCTCACCGCTTCCACCAAACCACATGAGAAGACTTTTGGCTCGCCGCATATTTAGATTGCCGCCATGCCGCACGGACACTATACATTTACAAACATCCAGGTTCTTCTCCGAAATCCGGACCTGGGCCCTTCGGTACCATAGTAGGCTTCCCTAACCATTTAACTCCCGCTGAGTTGGTAACTAATTCTGCATGGATATATCTATACCTGGGTCGGAAGCCAACTCAGCGGTTTACTGCGCTAACCAATATACCACTTGAGCGACAGGAGCGTTAAGTGTAATCTACAATTACAAAGACCATAGTAGGCTCCCCTAACCATTATACCGCCTGAGCGAAAGGAACGTTAAGTGTAATCTACAATTACAAAGACTTTTTAAAGGGTCAGCAGAAGAAAAAGTGTTGAGGATTATCTAATATATCCTTATTGCAAGGGCAAGGAGGTGAAACCAAAAGATTCTGAGAGTCTTTATTAATCAATATTCTGAACTATTATGCAATACGGCATATAATTATTACCAAACACGAGTACAATTAATTAAGGAAACATTATTATTAATATTGGTAACCTGTATTAATCTGTATTCTGAACCAAAAGAATTTGGAAATCTGTATAACGCAAAGCAAGATCTTTTTCCATATATTTTAAATAACTTCCTAAAAGCTTTATATTTCAGAATCTATGCATTTAACCCTATTGCATCCACCGAAGTTTTGTTACAGATAGCTATTTAAACAATATTTTTTTCGCAAAGAGAATGCGAAATATAAATGTGTTCATAATGATATAACTGATTACAGCGTAAGAGAAACTGAAAATCATAAAAGTGAAGCAACAACCTGGTGTTATGCGTAGATTTTTAGTATAGAAATTATCGATTTCGAGGGCGAACAAAGTCGTTCTTCACCAGGAGCAAAGAAATTGCGGATTTCTTTCGATCTCATATTTCTTCAGAATATATAAAAAACAATTTGCTAATATATTACGTAATTTTCATGAAGTTTTGCTTAATCTAAGATAAAGTACCGTACTAAAGAATTAAAAATACTAGAAAAGTATGAAAATACTTAAATTTTTAATTGCAGAATCACAATAAATATGCAAGAATAAAACAGTCTTCAAAGGCATATTTCTTAGGCATAATTCAATTGCAGTTCGAAGACATAGTACGCAGATTCTGCTTATGATAGTCTACAAAAATTTAATCAGGAGTATTAGATTAATGAAAATCGGTGCTTTGCTTACTTACCATACATGCTGCCAACGAAGAGATCCTTTTTAATTTTGTTTCTCAGGTATTCAAAGTTTTCCTTCTTTACAGGACTTCCACCAATACCTATAATTTTTAAACTGTCTAGATTTGCACCAGAACCTAGGAAGAAAGCATTTCGTTAAGAATCTACTTCATACAATTATTAGTACAATTATCATTTATTATTAGTAACTATAATTAACAAAAAGAATTAGAAAATAGTACAACAGACTCCTGTTAAAGACGCATTCGTCTGAAACGGTTTTCGTCTTAGTTAAAATTATTATCTCTTGTTCGAGGCAGTAATGGACATTCGGTGTCAGTGGCACTATTTAGTGCGTACCGCTCATTAGATTACGTGCATAAAACTTTTAAAATCTACCTACGTGAAAAAATGACTTTTTTAGGGAAAACTGCACTTTGAATACGATTTTTGTTCCGTTATTTGCGTTTATTTCTTTTGCAACAGCAATCCTGTTAAGAATTTGTGAGGAAAATCTCGTTTCAATGGAAAATCTTACTTTGAGCATGATTTTTGTTTTCTAGACTTTGTTCATTTGTTTTCTACCAGCAGGTTTGTGAATTATTTTCTATCTTCTTTTACTTTCGAGGATGTAGGAGGGCAGAGTACATTGCAAACTTAAGGTGAACCACTATTATATTATAAAATAACACACACCCGCATGACAATGCACTGTGTGTGACTTTGTAAATTTATGAAGATTTATTCAACAGATGTCTCTTGGTATCCAGAATCTAATTATATTCATTCTTTTAATAGATTTAATTTGCTGGCAAGACATCAAGGCTGAAAGTATAAATGGGAAACGGTAGCACATTCAAATGATGCTCAGTCAAACTAGAGATGTAATTTAGGCAGCTGTAAGACTATATGTAACCAAGGCTGTATATTTTAGACCCTAAGCTTTGTACTTTAAAAAGCGTAATCTAGTTCCATGAGGATAGAAATTCAAATTCAAGTAGTAATGTACACTGCGGGAAAAAAAATGGGAAAATCTGTTTCCCGTTCTACTCGGTCAATTGACGAAAAGCAAATTGCGTTTTTCATGTCTCGAAAGCGCGACTTAAGATATGTATTAGGTTTATATATAGCATTGTTCTAATATAGGTATTTTGACACAAAAGTATGACTTTCTCTGAAGTGACATGCCATTGTTTTTCCATATTTTGTTTAGATGACGTATTTATTGAAAATATACCTTGAGAAGAAAAACGATAATAAATTATTTAGGGCTATAAAGGTGTGGAACAGTATAGTTATCAATATAGAAAGCACGATTGAAACCTAGATTTTTCTTTGTCTCTCTGAAATTCATTCTAATTAGTTTGAATGGTTAGATTGCGCACGCTTTACTTGGCTAATAAATCGAATTTGGTTTCGTTTGTTTATTTTATTACGACAAAGGACTCGAGGGTTATCTGACAAACCGGGAGGATGCCTTCGTGGAGGATTTTCTAAGATAAGCTGACTCATATACACTTATACATGAGGACAACCATGAAAATACCTGTGCAGGGAACATATTAGCCAGAATTCGAAACCTGGAACGAGCTACCATTGTTCAGTGACATTACCACTCGGGCGCTGGTGGGCAAATCGAATTTGAATAGAATGAAATTGTGCCTTTAGACTAAATTTCCGAGAACATGAATAAGTAAATTTTTTAAAGCATCGAATGCCTTTTGAAAGAGTTTAGATTCATACAGAATTTTCGTAAATGAGTTCCTGACGCTTTTGTGAATACTTAAAATTCTGTTATTGAAAATGAGAGTAGCTTTCACTTACTAGGAACCATTTGCTGCTTTTCCATTTTGTCTACCATGCTTGTAACCAAAAAGGCGAGTGTGACTTTGTATTCTGCAACGATGTCCCAAAAATTGGCGCCTTTTCTTTCAAAGTATGGGCTGCCGCTGTATAAGAAGATCTTAACTCCTAAAGCTAAAGCTGGTATAAAGTAGTCCCAAAGACTCCATCCAACCTATGGTGCCAGAAAAATATAAAAGAAAATATGCTATATAAATGAAGGACAGGAAAAGAGTATTTCGAAACGTACAAACATATTATTGCAATTACGTTTTTAATGAAGATACCAAATCTCGTGTCTCTTGAATTTCGTGCAGAGCATAAATATGAATGTTTAGAAAGTTCTAACAGAAAATTTCCGCGATAAATGTATACCTAAAATTTAAATAAAGCTTAAGTTAAAAGATTTTCTAAGTTTTTACTGTATGTTTGATACTATCACAGTATAATTTTAATAATGATATTAACAATTTAAAGACGTCTGTCCTATATAGAGATACTTTGATGTCTATTTTATGACAATGAAAACTAACAGGATCTATCTTGTGAAAAATGAACCCTGCTTCATTGAAAATTGGTCCACGAATTAAATTGCAAGTTTAAAAATGATAAATTTTCTTTCTAATTGAAATCTTATGAAAGCAATATCAAGAAAGGAAAGGGGAAAATATTGCTTTAATTATCGTTTTAATGTGGCATCACAACTTCATTATTTAGAAGAAAAACAAAAGTGTGTTTTAAATCATCAGTGGTTTAGTGAAGAGAGTATAAGTTGTATAAGAGTATAAGAGATTTAAGATGTATTTAGTATATATATTTAGATATATTTAGTAAGCTATGTTTAATATATGATATATTTAGTATAAGAGATTCAGTGTTACAGTGGGTTCAAGGTTATCGATCTGAGTTTAATGCGCATCAAGTTATGTGCGACAGAAAATTACTACTTGCGCTTGCGCTTTTCCTAATAGCATTTCGTCTTTCGAAAACTCAAAATTATTATCTTCGTGCGAACTTACTCAGGTTCATTTTCCAATAAGACAAAATTATTTCATATGCTGCGGATTCTATATTTTGTGTCTACATTCTGCTTAAAATTTCTGAAATTGGATTGTGCGGTTTTAAAATAACATACAATTATTGTTCAAGAGATGAAAGCATCATAACAATTCAATATTTTTAAATAGTTTTGAATGCATGATTTTTGTGAGTATTTTAAATATTATTTCGTTAATGTATTTTTAATGTTATCATAAATTACACTAAATAATTTACTTGGTCATGAAATTATTTGATCATTCATTAATGTAACTAAAACATGTTACACAATAGAAAAATTGTTAATTATGATTATTATTATTTTGAGATTTTGAATACATAATGCTGTTTCTTCTACTGGATTAAAGGCATAACATTATATGGCATTAGAAATTCGAATTTTGTAAATTTGGTTTAACAAATTAAGGAATTTTAAAATTTTATTTAGGGAAGGTTATTAATGTGATTGATCTACTTTTGTATTACCGTTTAAATATATTTGAATAATTATTTTGAATGGTTTTAACGATGAGATTATTGTTTACAAATTTGAATTCTAAGAATTTTCTGATTGTTATAAGATTGAAGTGAATATAAACTTCGAAGGCTCCCACTTTATAATTTTATAGTTAATAATTATTGCTTTCATAATGAACTTTAATTTTTTTTATATAAATGGAACGTTTTAGCTAAGTTCATAAAGGCCAGTTGCCTTGAAATGAGGAACGGAGGCCTTTTGAAATAACTGCTACAAGCGTCCTTTAACTATTAGTGAAAATTCATACATCAATTCGTTAATGTGAATTTGCTTATACATGGAACTTTTTGTTATTAAGAGTAAGCTCTAGGGTCTTCTAGTTTGTACAAACTAAGCAAACTGGAAACGTCGATAATAATAGAAAGCATAATTTAGTAATATTATTTAAAATGATGTTTCTAATGAAAAATGAACTAAAATTTAATGTTCTGAAATTTCTTGGGATATTGTAACATTTTGCAATGTATTCGTAACGTAGATGTATTTAAAATTTTTACATTTGAAAAGTTATAAAAGCCATCCTTAAACAGATCTAATTATGAAGTTTGTTTATTTTTTTTATTTTATATTCACAATATTATATGGTCCATATTATTATTATTACTGTAAGGCAGAGTTTTACTTACACAATTTAAAAGTCCTAACTTGCATAAAAGTTATTCGTCTTAAATTAAAATTTTTTATATATCTTTTTCTTTCAATAAACTAGTTTGAAGGTTCTTATGGCTGTGAGTTATTAATGCAAACTTTGATAACTATACTATACTAAATGCCAGCTACTTTTTTAAGGAACGGAATTTTTTATGTTCTATTGTATTTAAGCTTCCACAGTTATCAGCAAGTTCACAGTTATCAGCAAGAATCACAAAGTGATTCGCTTTGTGAGGACCTGCCCATTTTAATCAAAGTAGCTCTATTATTGTGTTGTGTTTGTTAGGTTTCTGTTATTAATGACTAAAGTACATTTTACGTTGCTTTACAATTAAGAAAATGTGGAATGTTTTATAAGTGTTAAATAATTAATTTTGGTACAAATATCATGAATATGTAAAATATTTTTTTTTATTATGACAACAATTATTTATACGAATGACTTCCACGACATGGCCTGTAAAATATTATGATCATAATTATGATACTCAAGCAAAGATTTTCCAGAACTGTGAACATTTCCATTTACCTCTTGAAAAACCTAGGACACTCTTAACAGCATTTTCACAGAAAAATGAACTTGCATACTTTAAAATTTCAATAAAAGTTTCAGTTTGCATTTACAATTTTAAAAATGGTTCCCACAAGATTTTATTACTTTAAAAAATTATTTAGATCGATTTATGTTTTTCTTCCCAAAATTTTATTTTTCTTGTTTCGCTGATGCGTTAATGCTTTCCTCTAAAAAGGCTTTTCTGTAGCCAAACCTTTTTCTGCTTGAAGGAGGGTAATACGTAAGATAAAATATATGTAAATCAGCTTTATAATTTAATTTAATAATAGCCTCTTAATTTCCCATTTTTAATTTGGATATTTTCTCTCTGTATTATAAAAATAGTAATAACATTTTTGGACTGCGCCATTTCTAGATCAATCTCTGTGACATGGCTCGCATAACGCTAATGGCATAGCTAATTCGGAACCTGAACTCAAAATTTCGAGAATGAAATTTTTCTCTTAATAAGTACCATAAACCAAAACCTTCTCTTAGTGAGTCTCCATACTAACTAGATATTGCACACTTTAGCTTTCACCCTTCTTCACGTTCAAACGCTATTTTGCTCTGCTTTCTTCCTGTCGCAACAGTATTAAAAATGTGAATGTTCTCGAATAAGCACGATTAGAGTGCCAAGTAAATTGTGGCTGCAAATGTCAATTGAAATAACGTTGAATATTTAATCTTACTCGGCTACTACCTACGTTTCCTCTTCAATATAGATCTACGCTCAACGCCATCAACATCGCTAAAATCGCTTAAAAAGTAAATTCCTGCTCAATAGACAATAGCTGCAAAGATTAAAAATTTCTGTTTCTTTTTTTACCTTTAATTTTCATTAGTTTAGCATTTAATTCCATTTTTTGATTTCCGTAATAGTACACCTTTACTATCTAAATTTTCTTCTCATTTCTAAGGAGATTATCTAATCATACGTATATATATATATGTGTGCGTAAGATAAAAAATATGTAAATCAGCTTTCTATTACCATCAAGTTTATATTGAAATTTGGGTATTTCCTCTCTGTATTCTGAAAGTAGAAATAATTTTTCTGAACTGCGCCATTTCTAGATTAATCTATGTCACATGGCTTGCGTGGCGCTGATGACGTAGCTAACTGAGAACTTGATCTCAAAATTTTGAGAACTGAAACCTGTCTAACCTAAACCAAAACCTTCCTCTTGGTCAGCTTCCATACTGGATAACAGCGCACTCTAACTTCTGTCTCTCTTCGTATTAAGACGCTATTTCCCTCTCTCTCTTTCTATCGCCGGAGTATCAAAAACGGAAATAATTTGGAAACAGGTCCGATTAATGCCAAGTAACTTGTGGCCACAAATGTAAATTGAAATAAAAATGAAGACTTAGGTATTCTGCTTCGACTGCTAAGTGTGCTGTTCATTACGGATTCAACACTCTACCCTTCTACGCAATCAGAATTAGTCCTCTTCTCTATATATCTATACGTTCTCAGCTATCTGCGAGCTACGTCATCAAAATTACTGCGTCTGTAGAGACATTAGGTTAATTGGAAAAGTCGGAGAAATGAAAAATTAGCAAACGCCTTCGCCGGGGATAGAACCACGGACCTCTGGAATACCGGCCCAGTGTGCAGACCACCATACCACGAAGGCACGCCAAGAAGGTAGGAGAAACCTTATATACTACCCCTTTTAAAGGGCGACTGGGGTTTTTAGGGGACCCAACCGCCAAACAGTGGGAAGGGAGAAATCATCAACCACCACCCCTTTAGTTCGGGCGCCACTGAATTTCATCTCTCTGGCTTTTTCCAATTAACATTAGGTTAATTGGAAAAGCCGGAGAGATGAAAAATTAGCAATCTCTGGAATACCGGCCCAGTGTGCAGACCATCACACCACGAAGGCACGCCAAGAAGGTGGGAGAAATACCTTATATGTCTTTTTCTGTTTTATTACATATATGTATATAAGTGCATTAATGCAACCTTTAAAAAAATTTCAAATCAGTTCCCTAGATATTTTAATTTGAAAGTTAATAAATTCAGCAAAAATAAAAGTAACACTTTAAGATATTTTTTTCAGTCAAGTAAAATAAAATTCTGCTTGAAAACTATGCAAATAAAATTTTGGAGAAAATTTATTAATGAAATATTTAAACGCAATTATTTGTTGAATACAGATATCAGCATTTTTTAGTTTAATTTTTTATTCAAAAAAGAGATTTTAAAGAAAATCCTGAGTGAGATATTTAAATATAAACTTGATGGTAATATTAATAATTCAGAAGTGTAAAGTAGATTTTAGGGCTTATCTTTACGGGTAATGTACGGAGCTATGTATAGGGATAAAAATTCGTGATAAAAAGAATACATTTGTAAACAAATTATAATATGAAGAGTGATATCTTAATAAGTAATTAAAAAATAGACAAAACGCAACAAAATTATATTTACCGGGTAACAAGTCAATACAACATCTCCACTTTTCAAGTTTAGGTGAAACGCGAAGTCTCTTAATTCAGCAATGAATGACTGCAAGGAAGAAAAGAGTTTTAATAATCTCATTGTTTAATTAACAGCCAAGATGATAATTTTTTTATATTCGAAACATATTGAATTTAAAGACTTAATTCAGTGTCAAATTTTAAATAAGATTTAATTGCTATTATTTATTATACCTGCAAATAGAGAAAAAATTATCCTGATGTTAAGCAAATATGCTCTATTTGTTTATAACTTTGTTTACTTAATTTATGTTTATTTAAACATAGAATGATTAAGACATATTTAAAGTTCGAGTCAAATATTTTTAAAGCAATTAAATTGGTATTCTTTGTTTAGGAAACTTTTTCAATACTGATGTTTTCTCAAATCCCAATTTGTAGATCCATATACCAATTAAGACACAATAACACGCCGAATAAATACTAATTCAGAAGTCAAACAACAAAAATCAGCGTTATATTCACAAAATTTTTCACAGGACTAGTTTCGATGGTTTTACCGAACCATCGAAACTAGTCCTGTGAAAATTTTGTGAATATAACGCTGATTTTTGTTGTTTGACTTCTGAATTAGTACCATATACCAATGTTTAGCTTTCTAATATTACTTTTTTCTTTCGTAACAAAGAAGTGATATTTTAGTTTCATAATATATGCTGTGTAAAGTATTTATCTCTGAAAAATTTCAAATACTTCTTTCTTAGATACAAATGCAATATCCGTTAATGCAAATTAAATAAAATTCTATTTTTTTAAGTTTACTGAAATACGGTTTTTATCAACTGATTTCTAAAATATTCGTTACCATATCTTATCATGAAGTAAATCATCCGTTATCATAAAGTTGTTGACTTGCTCTACAGATTCGTTTATTATCACATGTTTAGAGGATGATCTATCGAAAGCTACTTTATTAATTGACCCACAATAGCACCAGCAGACATTCTTTCCCATATTTCGATTAAATTCAGCATGGCGGCACGAGTTATAAAGGCACGTGTTATTTTGTGATCTCTTTTTATCTGAAGCAAAAATATTACGCTAAACACATTGATTGAAATATGATAAAGATGTATGAAAAGAAAAATGGTATACAGTGAAACATTCATTTAAAAAATGAAACTAAAATTGATAAAATAAGATACGTGATAGCTAAGGCACGTTAAGCATTGAAAATTAAAATCATTGATTAAAGTTGAGGAATTTTGGCTAGGGTGAATGGCTTGACAGAAAATCTGTTGCTAAAGAACAGTTCAGTTGATGTTAACCATTAACTGATTGCTGCTTATATGGGAATTTTAAAATTCTGAGTACCAAACAGTTCTTGAGCGCGACCTTGCAGGTCAGGTTCAGCGGGATTATAAAAGAACATATCATTAAAATAAAGCCACACTAAATATGTCAAGAACATTTATTCAGGGAACTGCTTGCTACTGAGTTTATACGATTGCAGTATGAGAAAAACTGTTGTAAGTATCAAAATATTAAATGTAAATGAAAGTATGAAATTATGAAACCATAAATATCTCTTACCAAATGAAAAGAAGTACACGAATAAGGGAAGACTAGGCAAGAAGGAATAGCTCCTTCTTGGAGTAGTTAGAGGCAAGAAAACATGGAAAATAAAGTTATGACATCTTCTCTTACAATCGAGGGGGGGGAAGAAATTATGTTTGTACTACATCTTAGACTGTTATAAAGAATTAATATAATTTTTTATCGTTTTGTTTTATGCAATTAAGATGGAGGGATTTATTGATTTCATTTACTGTATCTTTATAAACACATTATGAAATTTTTCTTTTAGTAAATTAAATTGAATTGAAAGAATCTTATATATATCTTATGTGATCGTACCCCCATATTAAATAAAGAGATCTTGTGGAAATTAAGAATCAGTTACATACGATGAAGAACCATTTTAAAGGCTGGATTTTAATGACTAGTTTTGATTCATTTTTAAGTATAATTTATTTCATGATGATCCAAAGCGAAAATTTATCAAAGTTATAAAGGTTTTCGAAATGAACCTTTAAGATTTATTTTGAATTGAATTATTAATTTTATTATTTAGTATATTATTATTATTTCAGTAATATGATATAATTTAATTCACTAATATTTAGTTATTTAATTCATCGTTGGTCATTAAATCATCTTAGACGTTTTCATTTATTCATCCTTTTTATCATACATCTCAGCAGACTTTTGAATAAGCTTATGATCTAACTTTTCTAGTACGTGTAAATGCCATGATTAATTTTATTCATTCTGCTTTTAACTTAAATATTTTTTCCAAATAAACTGTTAACATTTTTAAGAACGCCATCTATTGCAACCAATCTATCTTAACACTTCGATTCACGCACTCACGTTTACTCTACATATTTTTAAACACGAACGTCATTAAAGTCTCTTATTGCTTCTCTCATACTTTCCATAAGAATTCAATAATAAAGGAAGATACAAAATTCATTTCAGCTGCTTGTATAGCATATGAGAACGAGACAGCTCGTATGTAGAAGAATTTCCAGGCATGACTCGAATTTGTTTTAGAATGAGAGTCAGGGCTCTAAGAAGAATTATAGGGTATTTCAATCAGAGTATTATGGCAACCATGTTCAAGAAGCTATCACTGTCATTAACTTTTATTTCTGTTTAGTACGTTGTGACATTCATCATGGCGTTTCAAGAACATTAATTTTTGCGCGAAAAATTATCTTCCCAGATGAAGGTTATTTGTGCTTGATTGGATACATTATGTGGCTATGTTAACAAACAAAATTGTTGTTTTTGATGCGAAAGTAATTGAAAGGAATTGCACAAGAAGCCCTTGCATTCATAAATACTATTATAAGCTGTGGTTTATGGCATAATGGCATCATCTTACCACTTTTGTTCCAAAAACGACGAAGGAGATGCAGTTACAGTGGCGGGTGAAAGATACCGATTGATGATAACCAAATATCTTGCGGCCAAGTTTGGAGGACACTGATATGGGGAAACGTGTGGTTCGAACAAAAGTTTGCCACAAGAGTTACACTACTAACTCTATTATCCATAGATTGCAAAAAAAAGTTTAGTAACAGGTTTCACGAAATGCAACTCTTAGTTGCCCTCCCAGAAGTTTTGATTTAACTCCTTTTAATTACTGTAGATCACTGTTGTGTTTATTTGAAATCAATTACTTATGTAACCAAACTAAGACCCTTGAAGCATTTAGGATAAGCATAGATTTCTCCGTTCGTGACATTAAGCCCGAGTTATTGCATGCAGTCATCAAAATGTGGGTTCATCGAATTTGCTTGGACGCGCTACGTCGGGAAAGACACGTAAACGATAATGCCATATATTGTAATTCAAAACAATATGCAAAAAATTTGATTGCATCTGAAATAGTTTTTGTACTGTTTTATTCTTAAATCATATCATACTTATTGGAAAACCTTTTATTAGGGCAATTAATTAAATAATGAATCAGCCTGATGATTGGATAGCCAATTAATGATTTTGAGCTGTGGCACATCGAAGCTACATGTAATTTGATTAAGAAAATTCGCTTACTCCAGCAGAATGCACAGGTCCTTTAGGAAGTCCCGTTGTTCCAGAAGTGAAATTAATGCAAATGGGATGATTGAATGGTAGCTGTTCAAATGCGATATCCGGTACCGTACCGTCTGGTGTTCGACCGTCCTCCAAAAATTCGTGGAGGAAGCAGCTGAAAGATAAAGTATTCATCAGAAATATACAAAAACATTAATTATAACATTTTTGTAATGTTACCGCTTTAAATTTTAAAATTAATTTGCTACAAAAGCATTACTATTTTCAAGTACAAACCAGATAAGTGGAAAAGAGCTAAAATAACAGTAATAGTGCAATTTTTTAATTTTAATGTTATAATTATAATGGCAGAATTATATTGGTTTATAACATTCACATAACTGGGTTTCAAATTACAGCAAAATGTTAACATAGGCTTCTGGACAATTTTAGCCTCTTGTGAAGTAATTTCCCATAAGTTTTTGTCCTATCTAAAGCTTTTGATGCGAATTAAAGTAAAATACCGGTGTAGAAGAGCATTATATCAGTCTATTATTATAGCGAATTGAAAAAAAGTACGCTTTAATTAAAAAAAATGATAAAATGCCGAGATGACAAAAATTTAGGAAATCTGTCATGGAAAATTAATATTTTGAAATGCTGTGAGCAATTAATATTTCAAAATATAGAAAGGAAAAACTGTGAAAAGAAAAAAACAATAAATAAAAACTTTACATTGTAATTTTTATTAATAAATGCCGAAAATATTTATTATTTGTTAAAGTATCCATGAAAAGAAGCTTTGCCTCTTTGATTTTATCTTTTTTAAAGAATAATTTTAATTACCGTATTTATGCGAATCTAATGCGCATCCCCATTTTAAAACTTTAAATAATAAAAAAATTGTTTGTCGGCGAATGTAATGCGCATCAATGATATGAGGAATTTATTGAATCTTATTTTATACAACAATGGATTTGTATATAAACTATCAATTAATGGTATGATAATTTTATTTAAATTTAGATACCATATTTTATACAACAATGGATTTATACATAAAGTAGCAGAACATAGATTTAACCTATTAGTGGGCTATTGTCATGTGAAACAATCATTGTTAATTAGCACCGTATATAATAATTTGTTATTAGTACCGTATATACGGTACCTATCGTAAAATATGAGCATGAAATAAATCGTAACATTTCCATCTAGCTAACAGTTTCTACAATCAGTGCTTAATAGTAAACGTCTTTATTCACTAATGTTTTCATCACTGGAATCCTCGCAGCTCTCTTCGTCAGAAGCAGATTCATTTCTTCTTTCCTCATCATCGTCATCGTCATCCTCGGCGTTCCAGAGCACGTCATCGTCACTGCCATTCAATGAATTTGAAATGCAGCATTTCTTGAAAGATTTTACAATCAAAGATCTTCAAAGATCTACAAAGATCTTCCTTTGGGAGGGCCAGTGAATTTCTTTCTACTAGCTTTAGTTGCAAACAGTGCCAATTTCTGTTGCCGCCACAAGCGAACATTGCTCTCAGCTACGTTGAACTCTCTCCCTGCCTTTCTATTGCCGTTTTTTTCAGCATAAAGAATTACTTTACGTTTGAAAGTAGCGTCATATCACATTCTTCTCTGTTTGCCCTCCATTTCGTGACTACGTACTCTGCAGTTTGTATCCTCTACGCAATAATGTGTCAACGATAAATGTAACGGTAAATGTAGTCGAGAAATTTGGTTGACATCATCGGCGAACTTTGCACTCGAATCTAATGCGCCATCGAATCTAATGCGCACCCCAATTTTGAATACTACATTTGGCCAAAAACGATGCGCATTAGATTCGCGTAAATACGGTAATTAAAAATGAATAAAGTAATTGAACTATCTCATGCTCATTATATGCCAAAATTTAAAAAATAGATTTAAATTGTTTATATAATTTATCGCTTCATTTAATCATTTCAGGGAGAAGCCAGAATATTTTCACTCTTCGTAACAGAGATTCTTCTTCTTCAGACTGTACAGTCATTAAGTTTTTTGAAGCAGGAGACACGAAAAAATACCTTATAAGATATAGAACAATAAAAATGGAAAGTCTATACATATAAATAAGTCTTACAATGAAGAATTATATATAAATAAGTCTTACAATGGAATACATTTCAGAAATGTATTCCAATTTTGAAGTTCTTTATTTGCAATGAAGTTCATATCGATGTTACTGTCTAATAGTTGACTAAAAAGCAGCTTATAAGAATGAGCCAAATTTAAGATTTTTTTAGCATAATAGTTTAAGTACATGTAACATTAGGTTAACATTATATTTCATATAAAATTAAAATTTACATGAGATTATTTTTCAGTTTTTCGATGATGACATTTAAATAGTTGTATAAATTTCTTAATGGCCGGCTTCACAAAAATTTCTTTCGGCTCACCTGTACTATGCCTTTAGAAACAGACTTTAATCATCGAAGATAACATCTTTTGAACTGATTAAAGATTTTAAGCTTATTTTTCTTTACTGTATTAACTGTTGATATTGTTCCCAGTCCTTTCTGTATCTTTAGCTTTTGATAATGTTAACCTTACTCCAATTGGTCACAAAATCAGTTTTTTGTTTGTTCAAATAGTTGTTAACATCTATCTATCTATATATATATAAGCGGCTTAAGTGTTTGTCGCCGATAGTTTATTGGTTGCTTGCGTAACTGTAAATTGTTTTATTCGACGTGCACTGCAGGGCGTGATACATATTATGAGAAAGCTAAGCTGGAAAAATTAAAAATACAAGAGCACGTGCATTCAACATTTAATAAATAAATTTAACATCTATATATAATAGAATCTGGAAATATGGAATTGGCAAAAACCAGCAACTATGAAGAAACAAATAAAATGAAATAAATAAATATCTTTATTATATGTGGCTTAAGTGTCTGTTTGTCGGCGATAGTTTATTGATTGCTTGCGTAACTCTACTAGCCAATGGGGTGAAGTTGCCATGGCACAGGGTTGCCGTTTCAATTGAGTCGTGGGCAATATCCTGTAAAACTTGCCTTTGCTATGACCATCCATAAGTCTCAGAGCCAAACGCTTAAGCGTGTTGGCATTTTTTTTACCTGAGCCTGCATTTGGACACAGTCAACTTTATGTGGCAGGTTCAAGAGTTCGTGAAAGAACAGACGTAAAATTAAAAATAATTGATAGTCCTCTGCAAGGCGAGCTTAAAAATGATGGAAAGATCTACACAAGAAATGTTGTGTACAAAGAAATCTTTGACATGCGAATTAACATTTTATTATTTAAATCACCTTTATTTATTGAGCTAGCGGTGGCTCTTAAGAAATGTACCGCTAGTGGTTTCCTTCATTGCACTCTACTTTAAGCAATTAAGCAAGTAGAAGGGGAAAATCCCGTGGGGCAGTAAGCAAAGGGGCGACCTCGCCGCCTGCCCTGGTAATTCAGTTTGAATTAGCAGACACCTTTTCAGAAATCATTTTAATTACAATTTATAACATCTAGAACAGCGGTCATTTCGTATGACCATCGGGCTTTCTATTATTTAATATGATGTCTAGTAACTAAATCAACCAGAACAAAATTGTATACATTTTTGTGATGCTTTTTGACGACTAGGCTAGGTTATCTGAATCTGTGAAAGCATATTGTTATGCATGAGATTTCAGGGTTACATTTTCTTTAAGTCAATGAAAAAAAATTTTGATATTTTCAATTTTCGAGCAATTTGACACATAAAAAATTTGTTTTCTCCTCTAGATTCCTTTTAACTGTTTTTGAGACCTCTTTGATTCTTTTTACACGACCTTTTTAAGATTTAATTAATTTCAATGTCTCCGTTTTTCACACTGTTATGCAATTCAATAAATCGTTGTTTTTGATAATTGAGTATTTTGCTTTTCACCGCAATGTGCGTCTTTCGGTATTATATTAAGAAACGTTTACTATATTTATTGAAAAACTTTCATTTCTATCTTTATTGGCTTGTATTTAATCAGTGTAATACTCATTATCAGCGAGCTTCTGTCCTCATTCTTACCAGGAAGCTTCTTTGGTTCAACATTACACTTTCTTTACAATGCTTTCATCTTCAGGCTACTCGGAAACAATAAAAGGAAAGCTCTAGTTGACCATGTTCTCATCCATTCTATTTCACACTTCCGCCATGTCTATTTATTATGCCTCTGCTGAGCCGTTCGATTTACATTCCCCAATGACATTCTTTTCTAGTCACTTCATCTGCATTTTATACTGAGCTGAGAAGCTGCTGTTGTAAATTTCATGAAGCAAGATCAAAATGAAGAATGTATGTTTCAGCAAGATTAATCTGGGTTACATGCATGTGAAACCTTGAAGGTTTCAATAAATCTAACATATATAATCTAATTTAGAAACATATTGAACAAAACTCTCGTTTATTAAAATCAGAAATGATATCAGTCATCCATGCATATTCAAAATGGAACCAGTTTTCGGCGATACAGTGTCAAAGTAAATGATTTCTTAAAACTTGAGGTTGTGCATACAAATTATTTAAAGTTTAAATGATTTGTATACGCATCACCAAAGTCATGTTATTAGAATATGGCAAAGCATTATTTTAACCTAAATTACATGAAGGCTATCTGACTAAGAGGATGTATGAGTTCGTGGAGGACTATCTAAGGGAAACTGGCTGATAATTATTTTACATATGGAGAAAACAAACGAAAAACAAACTGCTGTCAGCCCGTTCGAATGGAAATACAGTTCATGTCGAAGTATAAGTAGTAAGCGGTTTTTAACTACTTGGCCACTGGTGGGATATACATCATCAAGTATTGTTGATTTAGAAATAGGGATTAAGCAAAAAGTAGAAAGTGATTCCTGAAGTTTTGTGGTTAGATTTTACCTAAATGGGAAGGAGTATCACAGTAATCCCCCATACGATGCTGAATTGAAGCTTAAATAATTAATAGCGGTATGGAGGCACTTTAAATACATGGCGACACGAAAGTCCTCTCGAGAGGTTGATTGTAGGGGAAGAGGGGTGGGAGACCCTCGGACGTTTCACCTGTGTGTTCTCCATCAAAACAGGGAGGAAACTGAGTGAAGTCGTGTTGTTACCTGCATAGTGCTCAAGATTCTTGCTCACGACAGGCGCAATCTTGCTCTACTTGCCTCGATGAATTTCGTGGGCTTGTTCTGATGGTGCTGTCAGACAAGTGAGATAATCCACAACAACAACAACACATTAATTATGAAAATGAACAATTTTAAACAAAATAATGTTAATTTGTCTTTGAAATAAAAACACAGTTCTCTCTTTGATTAATTAAGAACCAAATAAAAGGCAGGAAGAGGTTCCTTCTTGTTCTGTTTTTTTAACACTATTTTGTTATTTTCACATGTCACTTAATCAAAGGCTTACTAGATTAATAGCTTTCACAGCTTATGGATTGACTACTGACAAAAACGTCTTATTATTTTTCAAGCAATAAATGAAAAAGATTTTTAATATTACCTAAAAACTGTTTTAGAAATTTGAAAATTCTAAGTATTAAAAAAATTTTAAGTTCTTTGCCAAAGTGATAAAATTCAAATCACAATTGATGTTTGTTTAATTGAGCAATAAATTTAGCTTATTTGATATGAACCTACTTAAGTTCAGATTGAAGAAGAGCAAGAAATTTAGTAATTTATCTCAAATTTTATATTTATTTGATATCAGGCAACTATATTTAAAATGTAACAGAACAACACTGAATATATAGGGATGTGTATAAAAGATTGAAAATAATTACCTGTTAGGTATGTGAGATATATCTTTGGATAATGTTTCTGGTTTGAGAGCCACGATAATAATTTTTTCTAAACTTGGACAGTCTAAAACAGAAAATTAAAATTAACATTTCAGAATGATTTTATTTATAAAAATAGAAAATGTTATCTAAAATGCTGTACTTAAAATAAGTATTTAATTATAAGCATTAAAATGCAAGCATTGTTCATAAATATTTTAACAGCTAAAATGTTAACGTTGTTTTTCATATATAAATGCATAGTGTGATAAGCGCTTGAAAAGTTTAAAGTTCATGTTATTAAAATTTTCTTTTAATTTAGTATTCCAAAACATTTATTTAACAATTTATTTTAAACTGGTATACATATTATGTGTACAACTCCTTAAATTTTGTTGTTTTTCTGATGCTTGTGAGAATTACCTGCGATACTTCATTTTTAAAAGTAAAAATGGTTAGTTTTTCTTAGTTGCATATAAGTAAAAGTTAATCTACTGTTTATATATGAAATATATTCGAGTTATTAATTTAAACCGTTCCCAGTTACGAAAGTAAATAAATTTCATAATTTCGAAAATAAGGATGACATTTCATTTTCATGGTAAATATTAGCAAACATTTAGGAAAAGTCAAAATATATTTCTAATTTTAAAAGTTAAAGACAAATTAAAAAATCAAACCATTTAGAAGATATTAAACACTTAGTATTGAGTAGTTTAAATTAGTTTTCATTCTTCATAACACTTTGAAATAATGCTAACTGTTTAAATATTTATATAAAAAAGACAGCTAAAAATTAACGGTAAATGATGAAAATGTTTAGCAAGCGTTCTCTTAAAGCAACATGCTTAGTATTAATGTGTATAAAAGTGTCTAAAGTCTGAAACGCTGTTACAAACAGGCCGTGAGACTGCCCTATTATAAATATTCTCAGATTGGATTCACAAAGTTAATAGCTGTAACATTAAAAATTGACTTTATCACATACAAATAATAAGCTTAAAATAAGCAATTTAATACTGAAAATAACAGCACTGTTTCGGACAGCATTCAAAATATATGGCTATTGGCTTCATTTTCATAAATAGTGATTTTAGTCCAATAAATTACGAGGAAAGATCCAGGCTTTGTATTTTGTTATACAGTATAATCACATCTTTTCAACTAAGTAATAACACGCGCAAATAATCTTCTGAGAAAATATATATGCGCTATGTTCAAACATCCAACGAGAAAATATACTTAGATAACCAGCCTATAACGACTTTGGTAAATTTCTTTTAAGCATAAAAAATATATGATTATTGGGTTTAGTTATTTCAATAAAAAGGAACGAAAGGAAATGGCATGTTATATAAAAACATTTTATTTAGAAAATAAGAACAGTGTTATAACAACACATTTAATTTAACGGTGGACAACAGGCAATGTTCGCTTATGTATCTTTCTGTGGAAAATTTTTTGGCACGTGTTAATAGAACAACAGAAAAGATACGTATAATCTTTACCAAAATAAAATATGATGAACATAGCAAACATATATTTGACCTTCAGAAAAAAAGGGTAACTGATTACTAAACGTTTTAGGCTCTGGTCCCAGCTATTCAGATGTTAGGAGTTCTGCATACATCTAAAATATATATTTGAAGATATACGAGTAAATTTCGTAGCTATCTTATTCGAAACTTTGGCATACCTGCTTTTACAAGAGATAAAATCCATCATTTTAACTGGCTTAACTGTGCTGTGTTATTTCAAAAATGGCAAAAAATGTATCAGTGTTATTTTAATATTAATAATAAGGTGCAGCTTACTTTCAGCAATGTCTTGGAGATTTTCAAATGTGTTGAACTGTTGTCCATAATCTTGATGGTGATCAACAGCAAGCAGAAATTTTGCATCCATCATTTTTATAATGTTAGAAGCAGCCTAAAGGGAGAATTTGAATTGCGGTAAGTTAAGATGATAAAAAGTGCTTTCTTGAATACTGGAAATTTATTGAAGAATTTCCATATTTGAATACTATACATCTTTTGTAAAACTATAGCGAATCATATATTCTAAATAAAAATAAGAGGAGGAAGAGTACATTCATTAATGTTTTCAAACTAGAAATGATTTTGCATGCATTTTAAATTTCAGTAGGTAAATTTTGTTTACTTTACATGCTATTATTGGTTCTCTTAGTAAATAAACCACATGTTGTTATAAATTGATTGCTCGCGCCGTTAGATGGCGCTCCGAACGTCTCGTCTCTGTTGATATTCTGTAACTTACTTTTTGATGGGAGATCGAAGGCGTTAAGCCTAATAATGATGAAGGCGTTTGTATGTCTTATATTGTAAATAAAACGTGTGTGTAATAATAACGAGACGGAATGATCACTTACCTCTGGAATTAATGTTATATAGTAACGGAATTAATTACTACATATGTTAAGTTTAGAAAACTGTGACAGTATTATTGTGATTAGGATTATTGAAATACATCAATTTTTATATATCACTGCGTAACTATAATTGAACTGCGGTGCTTTTCATCTCTATACCGTGTGATAATTATAGCAACGCAAATTGAATGTCTTAATTTTTTCATTTCTTTCCACTTACGTTATCAAAAGAATATTATGAAAATTTTTATCTTCAATATTTTTAACGAAATGTAAGTTTTGTCTGGCGTTGTTTATATTAAAGACCGAAAATTATATGGTATGATGTTTGCTTATTACAAAGTTTTCAGGGAAAAAGAAATATCCAAAAAAAATGAGCAGCTGATTTGGTAAATGCTCATTATAATTTTAAATCTTACTTAAAGTTTTAAGTTTTCTCTTACATTATATACACAATTTAAACGTAAATCATATGAAAGATTTATTTAAAGAATATCAAACTTACTCTTGCTCCATAAAAGGGCAAGGGTCCACCCCAGATGGCACCAATACTCGTTGCTGCCAGCAGTCCAAAGACAGCTTCCTTTACGTTGGACATATAACCTGAAATGTAGCAATGGTTAATAGTTGTCTAATTTTGTAACTGGAATAGAATTTAATCCATTAATATATAATTATATTAACGCATATTACAAAATTTATAAAAATATAAAAAATATGGTCTTTATAAAAATATGGTTTTTCATTGATACATGATCATATTGTTACGAAATGTACAGAGGCGGTAAGATAGCTTCCCCGCAAAGCAGGTTTAAAGTTGCCAAAAAATGGCAAGGGAATGCAAGGTTGTCACATTTGGAGAGAAATCGCCCATTTGAAGACATAATTGGCGATATGCCATGGACGGATGGAGAACCTTCTGGAACGAATTCTTACCGGTTTAGCTCAGAATGTTCTCGAACACAAGCCAACGCGGAGAGTACCTCGTCTAAAGTGCGAGATAGTTAGTCTCGAGATAATCAGTCTGTGCAGAGTCAATCAAGTTGACAGCCGGGCAGCGAATGCTGAGTGGGTCGTCGAGTGCATCGAAGAGTCTTTTAGTGTATCGCGGTTAGTGCATCGTCGAGAGAGTGTGTTAAGCTCAGGGAACGATTGAACCGAAGAGTCGGGAGCTGTGATCTGTGTGTCGTCGAGTGCATGGCGAGTTGTAGCGTGGAGAGTCTCGAGAGTACGTGAAGCTCCGAGATCGACCAAGCAGAGTCGGGAGCTGTACTCTGGTGCTTTGCATTGCCTGACAGTGTGAAGGCTGTGTCGCTGATTGTTCTAGCGTGTTTATAGTAGATTTTCGGCGAATGTAAAAGTGTTTTTGAGCTGTCCTGATTAATATTGGTAAATAAAGTGTGTTTCGATATTCCGTCAAGTGTCGTCGTTATTCCCCGTACGAACGTGAAGGAAGAAAATAGAGTAACAATATTTATAAATATGAATTTAAGAAAAAATAGTTTATTTCATTATTATTATTATTATTATTATTATTATGCGTATTATATATAACTGCAGGAGAGAAATAAGGCTTTGCTTTTAAGCAGATAACTCTCGTGTGTTGTACCGTAATCTAAACAATCCTAATCTGAAAACATGTAATCCTAATCTGAAAACATGTAGAATTCGCCCCGTTTTTAAATTTTGTTTATATTAATATTATTTCCAAAGCAATTGGCTACAGCCTCTAGACAGAGATGTTTATTTTAAAGTTGTTATACTTTTTAAATTTTAAGTTGAGAAATATCATTTATAGAAGTGCTTTTTAATAATTTTCCTTCTCAAGGAAAAAAGTTCGTTCTAAGTTAGGTTAGGTTAGATTATTCAAATATAGCAAGGACATAACGGCTATCTGCTTACGGAAAGGGACGCCTTAATGGAGGGCTTTCTGAGGGATACTGGCTCCTATTCACGTTACACACGAAAAGCCACGGATATCAAACATACAGCCAACCCGTTTTCCTGGGATCGGACTCCCAGTATTCAGGGGTCTTAATCAGTCTGCAATTTGTGTAGCTGTTTTATACCAGAACCAGTATGGCTCACTATATAACATATAAAGAATTTTGATGTAGCTATGAGTTTTCAAAGAAAGATAACTTCGTTTTTTATATCAGGACCCATAGTTTACATCATGTAACATGTAAATAGTCTGAATGTAGCTGTAATGAGAATTGACAAATTTATTTTTAGTAAAAATGTATCGCTGAAGTTTGTAATTTCGTTTTATATGAGGGCCCATACATTACAATCCTTACATCATTATAACATGTAAATAGTTTGGATGTCGCTGTAATGACATTTCATATATTTATTTTTAGTAAAAATGCATCGCTGAAGTTTTTTCATTTTCTTTTCATGAATCAATCGGTCTTGAACTACATCACCATATAAAATGTTTTCCTTGAGAGTGTTTATACTAATTATCTCAAGGTCATAGAATATTCGGCGATAAAACCGATTGCTGATACGCGCAAAATTTCTGACATCATAAGGAGAAAAAAAATCCGTTTAATCTCCGGGTGATGATTCACACGAGCCGTATCTCAGTCAACTGAAATTATAATTTTATTTATTTAGTGTTATGTGGGTAAATGTTATAAAAGCTTGTATCTGGGAAGGATTTTATGTATGGGTTCGAATATGCAGGGTGGATATAATTAAAATTCCTCTTTCAGATGGTCATAAAAGGAAAACTACTAGACCAAATGCTATCAAACTTGGTAATTGTGTAAAGGAAGTCATGGTAATTTATTTTCCGCGAAAAAAAAAAGTTCAAAAACTGACCACCAGAGGGGAATGGCAGTATATGCAATATTGTTAAATGAAATAAAAAAAGTAGTCGGAATCTAAATTAACCTTTTGTTGTATGTGTTTAACATGTTGTATACCTTTAGAAAAATTGACCTACACAAAATTACCATTTAAATGCATTAAAGGCGCTAAAAGTCGAGTGCGCCATTCGTGTAATGGAAAAATTCGTCCCTGAAAACGCGATTAGAAAAATGAGAGATCGCAAATCACTCGCAAAAGTGTGCGCATTCCGGAAATCGTTTTCTTTCAGATCTCTAATTTGTGATTTTTGAAGCCTGAATTCAGCCCTAAGACAATTCAGACATAAAGATATGGGTTTAAAACGTTTTTAATCGTTTCTAAAACGAAGCTGTTTGTGGTGTGAGGCAAAACAGCAATGGCTTGTAATTAGCTTACCGCAGAAAGAAGCAAATGATTTATGCAAATAATCTAAACAGTTTGGCGTAATTGAAAGATGCGGTACACCGACATGTCCGTAACATTCCTCCTGATATGCTAAGAGCTGCTGTTGAGAATGCAGTAATACAATTTAACTTGTTTTCGGAAAATGGTGGACGCCACATTCAGCATGCTTTGTAACAACGTTTCAGAAACGATTAAATACATTTTATACCGATGTCTTCATGTCTTATTTCGTTTAACAATATTGCATACAGCGCCATTTCCTCCCTGATGGTGAGTTTTTGACATTTTTTCTTCGCGGAAAATAAATTCCCATGACCTCCTTTGCAAGATTAGCAAGTTTGATAACATTTGGTCCAGTAATTTTCCTTTTATGACCATTTCAAAGTGGAAGTTTAATTATAACCACCCTGTTCATCAAATATACGTCGAAAATTTAAGTAATAAGTAATTTAAAATCGTTTTTATTTAAAATCTTTTTATTAAGAATCGGAAAGGAAAATTCAAGCGGAAATACAAAATGTTTCTTTTAAGTAAAATACAGAAAGGTGATAACTGATCTTTTATTCACAGTGTCCATAAAATTCCTAATTTCGCAATCGTTGATCGTAGACATGTACGTATAGTTAGTTACCCCAAAAAATGATTTCAATAAAGAAAATATTCTTATTTCAACATTTTAAAAATTTAAACATCAGTTTTGCAGAGATTACAAAAATCTAAATTTTTATACTGTCCTCCACTCTGTCTAGTTATATATGGTAAACATTTACACCATTTATAAAATAATAAACAAAATGTTTGAATTCAAAGTTTTCTAAGTGTAAAATAATTATTATACTTTCTTGAATAAAAGGAGCATGGAAAATATGTAGAGGTATATGCAGTTAACATTCTCAAAAAGACGGCGAAAATATTATAACGAGGATAATATTACTAAACACCAGTCATTAAAACTTTCCAATCATTCAAGCCGTAAATGAATGTACAGTACATATTTGTCTCAATACATTGCGGAAATATATATGCGTGAATTTTAAATAGCGCTCAAATTATTAAGACAGCGTATCATTAGGAAAAATACAAAATTTTAAATTACGGATTTTATACAAATACACACATACAAAGTTTTAAATTATAATCGAGAAAATATATCTTTTTTAACGGGAACTTCAGTGGTTTTGGATTAAATCTTTAGATATCTCGTGGATTAAACACCAAAAGAGGAATTTTACAATTGCGCCATACATTTGATTCTAAATGTTGAATTTCTATTGGTATCAGTTGGCAATCATTGACAAATAATATAATTGACAATTATAAATAATAATATGTAAATTCATTCTCTAATCCTCGCGCATTTTACAAATAAGTATGCGGATAATTTTTAAATTTAAAGTGTATAATTTCTATTTCAATAGCTGCAATTTTTTTGTTTCGTGATCACACAAACTATCAAATTTTGTGTTTTACAAAATACATCCCTCTCAAGTGTTGGAAATGTTTACACTAATTTCTATATTTAATTTTAAGAAACATTATAAAATAACTGAAATCAGTATTTCAGGAAATAATGTTCTCAGTAATCCTGTGTATTAATGCTGCATATAACTTCGTACAGATAGCTTCACATCTTTGCTGCTTCGATAATTTGTTAAAACAAAGCTAGTTTTAAATTAATTATCTAAATAATTTCAGTTATTCAATTTTAGTTACTGATATTTGGAATAACCTATTTTAGTTCTTCAAAGAAGGTGACTGAAGTATGTTGAAACACATCGACGCAATGGTTCGGTTTGGTTCATGTGATTACAGCAATGCCTCGAGGGCTATCTGCTAATGGGAGAGATGCTTTCGTGGAGGACTTTCTAAGGGGAACTGGACTTTCTGAGGGAAACTGGCCAGTCAGCCCTGCCACCTGTTAGGTGTTCAAGGCTGGTGCCAACGGCAGACGTAATCTTGCGCTCCTTGCTTGCTTGGCCTGATGTTACTGTCAGCCAAGTGAACATGAGTAACAGCAAAAGTAACAATGTTTTTAGAGCTCTAAAACTGAATGTAGCTTGTCCAAGCTCTAAAAGCTCTGTTAAGCTCTAAAGCTCTATTAAGCTTATATCTACCTTATTAATACTTGCCTTTTTAGCAATATTACGGACACTAAAATTACAACTTTCAGTGGTTTAAAGACTGAAAAGTTCAACTATCATCGCTCAGTTTAATTCAAGCAGCACTTGTAATGAGTAAATCTATGATTAGATGAACGGAACAGAAACGAAGAGTTTTACGACTGACCTTCAGCTTCAAGAACGAACATTTAGCGCGGTTGAAAGACACTCTCAAAAATGATCGATTGCGTAAGATATGCGGAAAAGAAATTACAGCATTTACTTACTTCTCCTTCACAATTTACGGAAGATATGCGGAAAAGAAGTTACAGCATTTATTTACTTCTCCTTCAGAATTTCCGGATGCATAAAATTTTCAATAAAGCTATTGTGTTTTCGTCAGAACGGCAGTTACAGAACAGGACATTTCATATCGGATACAGGGCCTTTAAAGTGATACCGGTTATGTCCCGAGATGCTTCTGATCCAGGCGAATATCCTACAGGCCCTTAGTTACCTTTTTGAAAATTTTACACATAGTTGTTATTTTTGATGGGAACATAAACAAAGGCAAGGACGTTTTTATATTACAGTCGTTGCTTACATATATCTTGACCTTGTTCCGAAAAGTTCTTGACATTTTGTTGACCTTATGAAGAAGTAAGGAGTATTTATCAAGTATCTTCAAACCTGCAGCTATATTTATAGTTGGTATGACACTGTGATATGTTTGTGCTAATGGACACGACAGTACTTTAATGCAGTGATAATACATTTTTTTTGGTTTATCGACATACAGGGACAATACCTTTCTTTCTGCAAATCAACAACTATGTTCAAAACGTAAATTCTAGTTGTAATACCATTACAAATTTATCATCTAGACCAGCGGTTCTCAACCTTTTGAATAACGCGTACCGTCTAAACAAAAACTGAAAAACTTTAGTACCACCACTACATTTTACAATGATTATTTTTCAAATTCTCAATAGAAATATTTTTTAAAAATACATGTTTTGCCTTTGCACAATTTATTGGCTATTTTAAATATGAACACATAAAAAATGTTAGATTAAAAGTAATTGCCAGTTTAATTATCAAAATTTACGCTATAATACTTAAATTCAAAAATTTAATGAGAAATTCGGGTCTGTTTAAGAAAGATAATTTTCTTTATGCTTGGACTTATTTCATTTAGCTAATTAAAATTATAATCCTGTTTTAATTTTGTTCTGTATTTATTTTTCAAATAAAACATCGAAGAAAACCTTGTTCACTGAAATAGGTTGTGCAAAAAGGCAATGAAAAATTAATAGCTTTATATGAGACGCCTTTAAATTCTTTTTTCGATTCAACCAAAAGTTAACGAGTGTGTTATTTTTGAAATCTTTAGTTCGAGTTCGATCGCAGGAAATTTCTATCAATTGTACTTTTCCTTCACTAGATTTTTGAAGTTAATATTTAAAAATACCTTGTTTCTTTGCGTACCATATATTTTTCTCTTGCGTACCACCGGTTGAGAATCGCTGATCTAGATCTTGCGCGATAAGGATGTCTTATGAAATGCATGCCGTAAATATCATTTCCATATTTAAAAGAACTTTTAGTACTCACAAGCTACTCTATCTCCTTTCCTTAAACCGTGCTTCCTGAAAGCTGCGGCGTACAACTTCACTTCTTCGAACATCTCAGCGAAAGTAATAGTTTCTTCGTTTCCCAGTTCATCTAGGAAAAGGAAATGGATCATTTTTAGTTCCTTCGTTACACTGATTAATAAACAAATACATTGCTAAACAAATTACAATTTTTATACATATTGGAGAAAAGAAAATTATCAAGAAATCTTTTAATCAGTGATATCTTGGAGTTACACTCTCTTCATTTCCCAACACTTCTAGGAGGGAAACGAAGATTTAATATCTTCCTGGAATTATATATTACACACATATATTCATAAAGAAATTGTAACATTTTATACAGACTGAAGAAAAAAAATGTGAAGCATCAATACCATTAAAAATTAAAGGAATATAAAGACTACAGTTTCTATTTCTTTGCATATTACTCAATTATAAATTTCAAATTCTTTTCTGATATTTTACAAATGTGAAAACCTCCGTTACCAATAAAATTGTGCTCTGCGTACTGCTACGTTTTCTATTCAATAGCTCAACACTTGCTTCTTAACCATTCATCAAGAATAACCATCTTTCCAAATCAGTTGGTGGAGCATTCTATTGTCGCTAGGCCCAGCCAAAAATATCTATGAAATATTAAAATTTGTAGCGGAATTTATAAAGTTACTCCGGAAGATGGATATTTGTGACTTATGGTTATTAAAGAAACCCTGTCAAGACTCTGACTGTGCTGAATGAGGATTTAGCAATTTTTTATGCATTGTGATTCTGAGTTTACAGAGAATGTTTAATCTAGAAGTCAGTGGTAACTTGGATATAAGAAGTTATTCAGCTGCATTATACTGAATAATATAAACTGGGTATATTAAAGTACTACATCATATGTATTGTTCACATATTTGCAGAGTTCCTGAGTAATATTTGCTTGTCGCATTCATAGTAGTCACTTGTGTTATTTACTTACTTACATTTCTCTTACAATTCACTTATGTATAATCTGCCTGAAAACTGAAGGTGACACTGAGAAATACAAATCAGTGTGTACAGTTGAAAATTTCATTGAAGGAAATGTGCGGTTCGCTTATACACAGACCACCATTTTATATCTTTCCAATGCATTACCAAAAAAGTTGGCAAAGGTGCGCCAGAGGAGGCAATGGATACCACACCCACAAAAGGAGAAAAAAAGACAACACGCACATACAGCAAGCCTTATATGGTAGTCAAACCCACAATCTTCGTTTCTGAGCTAGATATCACTTCCATTAACCCATATATCATTAATAGCTGCGGTTTTATATACTAAAAGCTACAGTTTCTAAAATATTCTATATGCTTTAGGTAGTTAAGAATAAAAGGTTTCGTAGTTTTATGTGGAATATTCGTTGCCATTTTTTTTCTTCTCCGACAGGTGCTTGTCGTCCTGTTTAAGCTGTGTTGATCATTCTAACTGTATCTTATTCTTCTTATGTCATGTGTCCGGGGTCTGCCGTTTTAAGAGAATGAATGTATGAAAAGAAAAGGGTTAGCTATTAAATTGAAACTAGATGCAATTTTTCTTTTAGGGGGGTAATGTAAGTCACAACCTGATTTTGAAATTTCTTCTACTGTAATACACTGGTGTACAAAATTTAAGCAACAATGTAAATTTTAATCAGATAGCCATGAAATTGTAGAAAAGAGGTTCTTGCGTTCACAGTGAACATAGAATTCAGTAGAAAGGTCATGCGTACGCAAATGTCAAGAAAAAAAGGTCACAGGCTACGTGAGCGTACGCAAAACGCGTACGGTCGGCGCGCTCAACTCGAGATTACCATAAAAGGAAGGATGGAGTTGCAATTAAAGACGTTTGCTGCAAGTGTAAGGAGTTCTTTCGTGAAATAATTGGTTAGAAGAAATGATCTGAATGACTTCACACGTGGAAGAATGATCGAAAATCTGGAGTAGGGGCGAAGTGTGACCAGTATAGCTGAAGAGTTCGGAATCAACAAAGTGGCGTTTCGCGAGTTTAGAAAGCCTTCCATAACATAGGTAAAGCTATTAGAAAATTGGTGGTGGCCGTCCCAAGAAATCAACTGCAGTAAATAACCGATATATAGTCCTGCAGACGAAAAGTGTCCGAAACCAGTCAGCAAGCGCCACAGCGCCACAGCTCAACAACTGTGAACAGCAACGGGCGACAATTGTCCTGGTTTACTGTGTCCAAACACCTTCACAAATGTGGCCTACGCGCCTGCCGTTCTGAACGCTGCATCCCTTTGAAAGTTGGCCATCAACATCACCGTTTACAGTGAGTGGTGCAAGGAGCGCAAAAACTGGGCATCTCATCAATAGAGTCGTATCCTCCTTACCGATGAGAATCGTTTTAGTGTTACAAGCGATTCTCAACACAAATTGATTTGGAGATTTGATTGGAGGTTGGGAGGTAGGTACATGGTTTAATCTCAGTAACATTACGGAAAGAGACCGTTACGGTGTCCTGAAGATCTCGTCTGGAGAGGCATTATGCTGAACGGGCGGACGGAGCTCCACGTTTTCGACAGAAGTTCTGTAACCGGAGATCGCTATCGTCAGGAGGTGATCCTTTCCCATGTGCGTCTGTTCCGAGGTGCCATTGGAGCAGACTTCGTTTTTATGGATGACGATGCACGGCCACACTGGACTCTTGTTGTTCAGAAGCTACTGAAAAGTGAAGATATCACTCGAATGGATTGGCCAGCGTGATCCCTTGATTTAAAACGCATAGAACATGTGTGGGATGCTTTGGGGAGACGCTCGTGACACGATTACAGCCTCCGGGGAACACCCAACAACTGAAACAGATGCTGATTGAGGAATGGGCACTCTTACCTCAAGATCTGTTGGAAAATCTGGTGCTGAGTACGGAGAGACCGTTCGAAGCAACCATTGCAGTAAGGGAAGGGCATATCCCATACTAAGGAACTCTTGCTTGTTGTTTTTCCTCTTGTACAGACAATCATGTGTAACGATACTATGAGTTCAATAAAGCCTGTTTTTGTTTGATTCCATACTATATGCATTGTATTCATTTTTAGAGCAATTATGCTTTCGTCATCGTTTAAATACAAAATGATGTGTCTTAATTCTGAATTTCATGTCTCTCAGATGATTTCTAGTAGAGTTATGCCAAAAGGAACACCTGTTGCTTAAGTTTTGCACACCAGTGTAGTTCTACTAACACTGGTATGGCCATGCCAGTTAATAATCATATGCTGATATCCTCCGTTATTACTTAATTTCTGTCACAAGGACTACATATGTTTACATACATTAATAAAATTAAAATACATAAACTAATCTGATTAAATATGTCGATTCATATACCCTTGTTCTCTTCAAAAATATAATAAATTACGTAACAGGCCTGTTTATTGCGACTCAGTTATTTTTGTTGGCTTATTGGAAAGTTTGATCAACAAAACAGAAACGGGTATTTAAATTTGCCATATCTGCAGGCTGATTCTTTATGAATCCACAACCACAACGTATCTACATAGCTTCAAGTATTCCTATAGTATGTTTCAACATTTGCACAGTTAACGATGATATTTTTCAGTTTATTACATATATATGCCAATGCAAGAACTATTAAAATATAGTAAACATTAAAGTTTTACGTAATAGCACAATAGTTTTATAATTTTAAATTTTATTAATGCACACTGGACATTTTACTAATCGGAAGAATTGCTCTAAGCAGGTAATATAAAATTTTTATTTTCAGAACTATACCATCCACAGTGTTAAAACCGTTATAAAAAATTCTTCACTTTAATTTTCAGAAATTTTGAAACGGAAAGTATTTTTCTATTTTAGGCTATGTATTTTCCCCCTTAGCCCAGCACCTGCTTAATTAAGACCGGTCATTCCTAAACGATTTTCCGATCTGTACGTTTTCTGAGATATGTTCTTCATAAAATGAATCAACAAATATTATTGCGCTATTCATTCTTAACGTTTCCGCAACTATTTCATATGCAGAATAGTCAATAGATGAAATTTGATTTTATAAATTCAAAAATTTGATGAACTGTAATTAAACGCAAATTTGATTTTGCGACAGCAATCATTTAATTTAGAATACTGTATAAGACAAAATGCGTGCTCTGTAGGTTTTTTATCCTGCAATTTTATCTCGTGTTTTAAATAAATGAAATTTAGCTTTATTGAAGAAGATTACTTTAACATTGAAGAATTTAGATCTAATTCTATTAAGAGCAGTTCTTCTGAATGTGCGTTTCTTTTATAGAACCTCAAACTTTGACTACGCTTGCCTTGTCTCAACATTTGTCATGCACAGAAAAACTTTTAATCTTAAAAAATATAATAAGCCATTATGGTATTTTATGTGATTAAAATTATGATTTTATAATGTATTAATATAAATGATTTATATTATACTTTTAAATTTACCATGTAAATTCTGGCTTAATAGCATTTTTGTCAAGCTGCTGTGTGAAGATAGCTACAAATAAGGCAAGTAAAAAGATATGAGAGATTTAAGTAGCTGTATACAACTTTAAAGAAACTGAATTTCACAAAAGTATACTGCTAGAAGTACCGATCGATTGAGAATTTTTTGAGTAATAAAATAAAGTAACAACAACAACGACAAAAGAAAATTTTTTAAAGAATGTTTTAAAAATACCCGGTAGTTAATGTAATAAGAAAATAACGCGTCAAATATTCTTCTGTAACAGAAAAACGAACCTATAAACGAACTGTAATATTCTTCTGTTAACCAACGTTTGCTGATAGATGAATAAACTTGTACGCTGAAAATGAAAACAAAACATTACTAAAAACATAACACAGAATTATTTACCTGCCCATATAAGAGCGACTCTGTTATCTCGGATTCGAAGAATATTTTCTGCGAAATTGAAGAGTGCTCCACTGAACCATTCGTTATCCAAAAAACCAGGTCCTGTTTTTATCAACACCTGTTTCCAAAAAAATAAAACAAAGTATTAAACACTATTCTGTCATCCAAACTTTGCTATGAATATATATTCAGGATGTATATATAAGTTATTTTCCAGTTACACTTTATTTGCATTCAATAGACTGCCGAGTTACTTTTCATCCTATTCTAACTTAGCATATACAAGAAAAAAAAAACCGAAAGCATATAAAATAAACTATAATATTTTTGGAATTACAACTAAGTAACATAACAAAAGTTTATTTGCGCTGCCTACAGGTCTCAGCACAAAAGTAATTTGAGACTCTAAATCATTCACAGTTTTAGTATATACATGGATGCTAAGGTTCAGTAACTGGTTGATTAAATTTCTTTTTGGCTTTGATACTTCCGGCTATTACACATGAAAACTAATTTTTTTTTTCTACCTGATGAGCAAAAAAGGGTTTTGAGGTTGGTCCTTACTAAGTAAGCTCTTCTGGTGGAATGGTATTGTTTTTCGAGCTTTGCAGAAAATTCGAAAAATAATTTTGTTATTCTTTAATGAGTTATGGGATAGTAATATATTATAATCGTATTAATTTTTGGTGAATTGCCTACATATGTGTAGCCGGAAGCCAGCCGTATGCAATCCACAAGCCATTCGCCTTCGCAGTTTCTACACTTTCCTTCAGTTTTGAGAGGATTGAAAAATAGGAAATTAGCTAGGTGATTATTAAAATTAGATAAAAATTTCCAAATGTTAAAAGTTAAGTTCGAGTCGAGAGCAATGTACTTCTTTATGGAGTGATTATGATGACTTAAACCCTTGATATATCATTTAAAGTAAAATAATTTCATTATTAAAATCTGTTTTGGCGTCAGGAAATAGCCTATAAACGAACTGTATAAAATGGAACAATTATATATTCTACGGGTTCTTTTTTCATTGCTTTCATTTATTAATAATACTTTGTATGACTTCTTTTAACGGATGGCTTTTCTACTCATACAATATACTGTTTCCCAAACTTTTAAGCATCACGACTCATTTGCGCATAGGTACTCACAAACGAGGAAGAAAAATAATTCAATAGAAAATATTGCAATAATGGCCAGTTCAGATCTTACCACGATTCACTAAAATTTATCTCAAGCCCCCAGTTTGGGAAATATTGATATAATATATTGTAGGATTTTATGTTTATAAACCAATTATTATTATTTAAAATAAGTTCTTCGTTGAATAGTTCTCACCAGAATGCAAATTAATTCTAGAGTATTTATTCTAGAGCAAATTAGTTCTAGAATACTTATTCTGGCTTCAGCCATTTTGCTAGCGTTAAAAGCGTGTCAGTAATATTACTTGAGCCAGCTTAAGTAGACTATTTGGCGGGTAGGTTCAGACTACGCAACCTGAATTTTAATTCATGTTGTTCTTGTTATTTTAAATACATGCAAATAACGGAGGTATATTTTGTAGCAAAAGTAGTTCTTTCTGTTAATATAAAGAATCCAATAGATTATTTTCACTTCAAGACTTTGTCATCTTAATTCGGACTAGTGTGGTAACTCGCTTGTCAGTCTGGTAGGGTCTGAAGGACAATGAGTTAAGCTTCTATACAGCAGTACCCTACAATATTACTTATGGAATTAAAATTAAGTGAATTACACATTTTCGATCTTTTTTTTCGGGGGGGGGCCTTTGAAACTAGTATCGTCTCGAGTATTGTCAGATTGTATACCTTTACCAAGCAGCAAAGTATATTGATTAAATCCGAAAGCAATTGCCTATCTGGGAACAATTGGGAACAATAGGGAAAAACGCTGACCACCGGTAGTTGGACTGGGTTCAAATCTTGGCAAACAGACTGCAACTTGGGGCGTTTCATGGTTTTCTTCGCAAAACATGTCGCTGAACTCCTAGTAAACAATTAAGTTCTTTGACGACAGCACAATTGATTAAAATAAATCGGCTCAACCACGGGTCGAGTGGTTAAAACTGCTGAATAATTATTAGTCGTCGACTTATGCTCAAGCTCCGACTAATGGGTTGACTGCGTGAGTGCTTTTCGCAGTTTCGCCCATGCATAATGTGAATTCGAGCGAGATTCCCTTAAAAAGGTCAGTCATAAAAGCATCCATTTTCTTAGTAAGTAGCCCTTGTGGGCTTTGTCATAATCCGAATAATCCAATTTTTTGTACAGCTAGATTAATAGGATCAACTGTCTCCCTTGACTTTGAAAGACAGAGTTGCTTATAATGTAATGCATAAGAACCTTTATTACCAGTATTTCGGTTCAGTTTCAGTTTTGCGTTTCTTATTTTGTGATTTTCTTCATCTGTCGCATAATTCTGATCCCGTTATGCTTAAGTAATATTTTACGAAAGCATCCTTCTTAAGGCAAGATAGCGATAGCGTCCTTTGCCATAATCCATTTACCAACCATGACTGATTTGTAAACTATTATTCAGGAATGTGGACATGTAGATGCAACAGAAAAACATTCTGAAGGCTAAAAATCATCCCCATGATATCGCAAGAAAAAATAATTTTCTTTAAAGCGCATAAACTCATCTGTATTCCTATTAGCAGTTCGGAATTTTCTTTTTATTGCTAAATGAAAGTCAGCAAAAAAAAAAAAAAAAAAAAAAAACCTTACTGTATCATAAAAACCCTAAATAAGTTAGTTCACTAACCACGTGCGTAGTCAGTCTGACTCGTATTCAAAATAATAACACAGAATAGAGTAGAATGTAAAGCGTACAAATTCGTTTGTAAATAAAGTATAATGCTGCCAAATCCTGAATGATAAACGTTAACAACCGCTGCGAATTTTACGAATATTTGAATCTTTCATATCCAATGACTTTACATGCAAATGCTTCAACAAGAAGCAAGCAAAGTTCGCTTTCTGCCAAGTATACCAAACCGAGGGTTTATCAAGGCACATGTGCCATGCTGGGGAGGTAGCAGTCATCCGGGAATTCTTCTTTGAGAGGGGCTGGTTAAGAAGCATCATTGAGCAAGGCTTCAGATCTAGCATCAGATTTATGGGTTCACTCGTAATGAAGATGCTGGCGCGCAATTTTCAATGCAGGCAATGAGACTGTTTGCCCATACCTACACAAAGTCAAATTTTTATGAAGGATTGACAAAGAAAGCAATTGGGATTATATTAAAATGAAAGAAGCGTTTTCAACCATGTTTATACATTTTCTATTAATGTCTTTTATTAATGTATTTAAATTCATTAATACTGTATTTGTATTAAGAACATATAATGTACAGGGTGGGTGTAACTAAAGTTACCCTATTTAGAACTTCGTAGAGCCAGTTCTGGTAGACCTATTTCGTTGAAACTTGTAATATGATACGTTCCGTGGAGAATCAAAAACTTCAATAAAAAATAATATTTCAAATTTTGACCGCCAAAGTAAGAAGGATCCCAAGAAGAGCAAAAACACAAATTGGAAGTATAAAACTTACATTTGATTACAGCATTTGTTCAATGTACATTCCGTATATGTCAATCACGCACTCAATGCCTGTTACAGCGTATTCAGCGGTAGCGCGAAGGATTTCTCGATCAGCTGCAGCATCATGATGTGCTATGCGTTTGCTTCCTCCGTAGACACGATCCTTCAGGAATCCATGCAACCAGAAGTTATAATGCTTCAGATCTGGAGAAAGAGGAGGCCAAGCAGTCGGATAACTTCTTGAAATTGAAATTATCCTATCATCTCCAAAGCGGCAAAAAGCAGTGCCGTCACTGGTTATGCAATGTGAGGTGGTACACAGTCTTTCATAAAGACAATCTCTAAACGTTCTCATTGTTATAAGACAAGGACTTGTTGCTGAAGATGTTCGCAGAAATAGGCAACCGTGATGGAACACCTTTGAGCGTCTTGAGGAGTGTTATTCTCAAAGAAAAAAGAACCAAGAATAAAATCAACAGTAAAACTACACCACCTAGTAATGTTATAATCATACAAAAACCGTCCATGCACAGTATTAAGAGAGAGTAATGGTTCCGAAATGGGTACCTCATATGCGAAAGTTCCGAGTATTAACTGCTCCGTCTAGGGTAAAATGCGACGCGTCCTATCACAAAATGTTGAAAGGCCATGAAATGTCAATGGCTATTCTGGTCAAAAAGAAGGTTATGTTATTTTATGTTATGTATAAATAAAGAGGCCACCTAATACGTACCCTAAGTAAGTAGGTATTAGCCCCACACACTATCTAGAAAACCAACAACCTTCCGGCGTCCTCGAGTCGTGGTGAAATTGTGACTCCAGCCAACACTACAAGTTCTGCCACCGCCGGTGGCTTCAATGGAACTCTTACTTTTCAGCGTTAAATTAGCTCAAGTAAAACGCATTACATAAAGTTTAGCAAAATCAGTGCTTTTTCCTGTGTCTATATGATGCAACTTTTGCATAACTTGAATGTTGTATGATTACCCGTTTGAAATGGATCTCGGAACTTTTCGTACTGTTGAAGAAGTGACTTCTCCTACAGTTTTATTTGAAATCCGTTTCCGTCTTCTTCCTCGTGGACACAAAACTCCCCAGTTTATTCAAACTTAGTAATCATTTTTTTCAAACTCTGCAAAGCCTACTACGCTGCGATATTCTTTCAGTGTAGTTGAAAAATTACTTTGCCGTTCTAATAAAACAACTTGGTTAGTAAAGCTCGATCTTTCTTTTCTATAGGTATAGTAAAGAATAATTTTACGACATTGAATACTGGGTTTTGAAACACTCCATATTTGCATAATACCCCTTCGGCATCGCATGAAAAGCGCCATCTGTCAGCCAAAATTTGAACTATTAATTTTTATCGCAGATTTCTTTTCTCCATGGTCCATATAACATGTAAACCTATTTTTCAATGAACCAGATCTTCTAGAACGATTCTACATAGGTTTAAATAGGCCAACTTTAATTAGAGCTACCCTGCGTTTCTATTAATATATTTAAAATACTTTTTTACCCTGCTTCACATGTATGCACTAAGAATAAAAGCGTTTTATATTATTTAGTAAGCTAAAAATTATATATCACCTCATCATAAGGCTTGGAAGCTATCACTCCAAAATAGTTCCATACTTCTTCCCAAAAATCTATATAATTCTCTACGGACCATTTGTGAAATTCCCAGTAAGAACCTGCAAGAAACAACGTCATATGCAATACTAGTATAGCCTAATGATATATGGAAAATTAAATATGTCAGTTAGATAACCTTTCAGAAGATCAAAGAAGAAAAAAATTACATCAGAAAATAAAAAATGTAAACAATTCAAAAAAATCATAATGTAGATCACCTCTAAGGATAAATATGTTATTCTCAAAGAGAAAAGAACCAAGAATAAAATCAGCAGTAAAACTACACCACATAGTAATATAATCAGGATGCAAAAACCGTTCATGCACAATATTAAGACTTCCAGTACCTCATATGCGAAAGTTCTGAGTACTAACTGCTCCGTCTAGGGTAAAATGTGACGCGTCCTATCACAAAATGTTGAAAGGCCATAAAATGTCAATGGCTATTCTGGTCAAAGAGAAGGCTATGTTATTTTATGTTATATAGAAACAAGAAGGCCACCTAATACTTACCGTTTAATTTAAATGTATGAGTTTAAAATAAAGTTAAGAAAGTTTTCAGAACAAATTGGAAGCTAGAAAAACTTGTCTGAAATTTTTCCAGTTTATTTCTGAGCATGTATTACAGATTTAGGCGGATAAGTTTAACTGTAATCCCTACAATAATCTACCACTTTAAATTATAAAGTTTTAGCTTAGCTAACTAGATTTAATTTAATGCATCGTTGTCATTTACTTTTCCCTTTTAATTCCACCTTGTTCAGAGCATATAAATTAAGTTTTATTAGCACAGAGGGCGTTGTTTCTGAATGTAGAACAACAGCCAGTTGCGAGACCTGCCCATTAGGTTCAAAGAGCCCATTAACAAGCTCTGCAGTTGCTTCTGACTGCAATGAATGGTTACCCAAATATTGTGGCCCCCAGGCTACCACTAGAACTGACGAACCTGCGCGGCTGCAGCGGGTGGCGGAATTTAAGGCCGGCAAAATTTTTAGAATTAAGAGAAACAAGAAAAACTCAGCAACAAAATTTAGGAATGGCAATAATATTTAGAATTTTAGGTAGGGAATGAGCAGCAGATATTGAGATTGCATCAGACTGCAAAATGCCTAGCGCCGGCCCTGGCGACACCTCCTTTATAAAAGGTAGGTTTAAATTGGCTGTAAAACATTAGTGGGAGAAACAAAAACGTAAAAGCTGTAGTAAGTTAAAAATTAGTTGTTAAAAGACAAAATGAGTGAGAATCAAAATATAAAAATATTTGTGAAATATGACCAGTGAGACACAAAGTGTAAAAGACATAAGCTAATGTTAGTTAGTCAAAGTTAGTGATGAGAAACAGTCCGTAAAATCGATAAGATTAGTTTTAAACAGTGAATGGTAAAAAAAAAAAATGTAAAAGCAATAAGGTCGTAGAGACATTAGGTTATTTTGAAGCAGGAGACATGAAAAAATGCGCAATGCCCTCGCCGTGACTCGAACCACGCACCTCTCAAATACGCGCCGAGTGTGCTGATCACTACAACACGATGGCATGCTAAGAAGGAGGGAGAAATTCCTTATAAAGATTAGTTGTAAACTCAAGTGATGAGTGAATTTTAGTTTCAAGCTTTATTTGAATTTCGAACACATTAAAGTGAAATAATATTTTGCCTATGATGAAATCATATGTTTAGGCTCTGAAAATTGTAGCTAATACTTTGAGTTGTAATTTTAGGTTTGCATGCCTATCAATCATAAATCTCAATAAACATCTTAATTTGTCTTACTTAGGTGTTCATCTTTGCAGTTAATACCTGCTTGATCGAATCGCTAAAAGCAGCAGCATCCTAGCTTGAAAGTGTAAAGAATGATTTATATAGTTAACAAATAAATGTCTAAAAGATTTATTAAATTGATTCTGTTGAATTGAAAATCATATTTATCCTGGCAAAAATTTCGAGGTTCTCACTCGCAGATAAAAATAGGTAGATGTCTGTTTTATAAAAACTTCTTAGGCTTTCATCAAATACATTGTGATATCTGGCGACTGTTTGGCGATCAACAGAGCGTGCTTGGCGCATGTAGCTTCTCTCCAAGAAGGGTTAATGTATTTTAAGAGAGTTGCATGTTAGCCTCGGAAGAGGAAGGTAGTAGGTTTCGCTATGGTGTAAGAGCGACGTACTGCTCTGAGTTTATTTATTATGCTTTGAACTATATTTTTAATAAATGTTCGTTTCGTCTTGCTAAAGGGTGCCTTATTAAACCACGAAGTCATCACATACATATCCCTTAGTTTTAATAAATTGCTTTAAAACAAATTATTACTCTCTAAAATTAAATTTTAAATTGGGCAAAACAGCAATATTAGAGTCGCGTACATTTTGAACAAAGCCTTAACGATTTCGAGGGTAATGAGAGATAGGTTCCACTTCTTTAGGAGCAAAAACGTTTCAGCAGTTGAAAAGTTAGGTGAAATTATTAATGTATTAGTTTTAAAAAATTCCGCAATTTATTCTGCCTTCTGATTATTGTTAAATTTTGTAAAAATGTACGACTGTATATGACGGCTATCTGGAATAAGGTTTTTATGTGTTTAGTTCTCTATTTGTTTAAAGAAAAAGATCTGTGAAAAGTTACCAACATTTATATGAATTGGGCAAAGACTGAAGAATAATATTTAGTAGGAAAAAAATTTTTATATTCATTAACAGCATAAAAATTTCGAAATAGATGTAAGAACTCTAAAAAGGTTTATTCAATTCAAAAATTTAACAATAATAATAAATAAAAGAAAAGTTTTGTCTGTAATAACATGCATGATATTGTTTTAATATTCCATATTAAAGTTTTTCTTAGGGTAAAAACATATTGAATTTTACTTACCAAAACGAAGATCATATTTCGTTTCGATCAGTCTTCGAAATTTTTCCATTCCTGTGTTTGGAACCTTCTTGTTCCATACCAGTGTGGGTCGTGCTTTCATTGCATCTATGAGGCCATTTTTTCCTGTTGTCACTGTGTTAAAATATAACATTATTTAATAAAAAAATTTCATTATTTTACACATAATTTTAAAAATTTATATAAAAACGAAAGATTTGTGGTTTTAATAAAAATAATATAACGGTCTATTACAATATGAGATCTTACGCTGAGTATTTCGAAAATATACTTTAGTGAATATCTGTCGAATATATATAATAATACGTTTAAACTGCCGAAGGATTTATACAAAAACTTATCGATTTTGTAACCCTCCTGATTTTGCTTCTTGATGCAAAAAGCTGTCTATTGACTGAATGTTTTAGGAGTTGTAGAGACATTAGGTATTTTTGGAAGCAGGCAAGATGAAAAATTAGCAACGCCTTTGCCAGGAATCGAACCGCGGTCCTCTCAATTACGTGCTGAGTGTGCTGACCACTACACTACGAAGGCTCGCTAAGAAGGCGGGAGAATTATACTCCCCCTTTTAAGGGGCGACTGTTTTTTTTTAGCGGACCCAATCGCCAAATCCTGGATGAGGAGAATCATCATCCAACACCCATTTAGTTCGAGTGCCATGAGTGAATTTGCACCATCATACGAGTATTAGCATACGATAGCAGATAATTAGTCTTATAATTTAATTAATGAATAACATGTTTCTCATACTGTATTTTTCTTTTACATTTTAGGACTGTATAGCCATAGCTGTGTAGATTTTATGATGGAAAGATTCACCAACAAACAAGGGCCAAAATTGTTGCATTTTAATTTGAAAACCAAACCTGCATTACTTTACGTAATGATAATACCACAATATCTTTAACAACTGGAATGCACATAGTGCTAAAATAATTTACTGGATAGATTCTATAATTTCAGAGACAAGCAATGGTTCCCTTGAAGGGAATTTTTAGCAATCGTAGAATTTCTCGTTTTCCAAAATTTAACTGACAAGCGCGATCGCCAGATTTAACAGCCACAGATTTTTCGCTTTAAGGCTGCTTAAAGAGAAATGCATATGAAACAAGCCACTATTCCTACAACAGCTTCGCCAATATTCGAAGAGTAATTCAAGACTAAGAATTCGAAATTCTCACAAGAGTTTTGAATAATTCCAGGAATAGAGCACATCCAATCGACACTAAAAATGATTAGCATTTCCTAAATGATATATCTAAAACGTAATGTAAACATATTTATATAAACTGTGTTTAATATTAAAAACGCAAAAATAAGTAATGTTGAAATAAATATTTTTATTCATTACTTAAATTATGGCATTAATTATGGGCTAGATTTTAACACCTATTACCTGGATTAAATAGAGGAGTCTAATTAAGAGAGTCAATACTCAACTTCTTAGAAAATCATGATATCATGGCTTTTAACACCTATTACCTGGATTAAATAGAGGAGTCTAATTAAGAGAGTCAATACTCGACTTCTTAGAAAATCATGATATCATGGAATTATGATATCTGACATAATCATGATCATGATATCTGACATATAATCATGAGACAACTGACTATCACGATTCCATGATGGAATCACGATAGTCAGTTGTTTCATCATAAAAAAGGATACTTCTGTGGAAGGCTATGCATTTAAAAAATAACCAAGCTTATGTTTGATGAATTGTTTAAAATACGGATATGAAATATTCCAGTAATGATCTTATTATCATTTAAAAATTTTGTTATTAGTACACATGATTTCAAACGAATGTCGTAAAAAACGCATTTTCCCGTTCTTGACGACGAAAAATATTTTTATGTAGGAATATAAATAACAAGATATGTTATACCAGTGCAATTTTCCGTTGGGATTTTTATACACACAATTTGAATCTAATATCCAAGCTAATTCAAAAAATCAAATCGTAAGCAAAATTTTGCTTTTATTATTAATTAAATTTTAAAGTCTTTTGAGTACGAATATTTTCTTAGAATTGACTAAGTCTTAGAATTTTTAAAAATTGTTTAGAAAGTGAATTTTTAAAAAGTTTAAACAGCGTTAAGTAAAAATAAATCGTAAGAAAAAGGAGTAATATTTCTCTCCGTGTTATATCAAATGTATGAAACCACCTTGTACTGGAGAAATTAGATGCATAAATAGTTACTTGACTGTTATTTATAAATGATAATTACACTACTCTTCGATAACAGATATGTTATTAACAATCTCCTTGATAATAAGATATATTATTAATAGTTATTATAATTATTATTTGATAACAAGCTATGTTATTAATAGTCTTTGTCACAGTGTTACGTTAAAGATGTGCTCATTGATTTTCATTGCAGCCCTTCATAATTTTTTCCTTCTATGACGAAAAAAAAATAGTCGTAACTAAGATGAACTACGTTATATGCAGAGAGCTGATTTAAAAAACATGTAGTGCTTTCTGTGATTAATCATGAAATAGTGAATTCGTCATGAAATTCTCTGACTGTTCATGACAATGAAAATTAACAATAAAGAAACCTACGTTTCACCAGAAATTGCATCATTATAGTATATACAACGATGTATAAACTTTTCACTCCACTCAACAGCCATGACTCTCACGTGCGTTTTAGTTACAAATAAAAGCAATGAAGCGTTCGAATTTAGAAAACACATGTCGCTTTCATGAAAGGTGAAGGACCATGCTGATGTACAATAACCAGAAATTTTCATTTCACAAATAATGGTGTTATTTTAGTAATCACGACCGATTACGTTTCTCCTCCACTGAACGGCCATTGCTACGGCGTGTCAATTAGACAGATGCAATGAAGCGTTACATTTTAAATACATCCAGACTGAAAGGATTTTATCCAAATCCTCCGATTCGTTAGAAGCTGGGTGACAACATTAAGAGTAGAATTAACTTTCACGGCACTGAGAACAGAAAAATAATAATAAAAAAAGTCACAACAACCGGACGCTGAAGTTTAAACGGTTAATGATCTAATGGATTACTTGCTTTGCATGTTAAGCAAATTAGGAGACAAAATGTATGTTCTGCCAGACTGCCAAAAAGTCTGGCCCTCAGAAATTCTCTCACTTGACCGACTGTCCCCAATGTTACGGGGGCTCATAATTAGGTCACAGGGGTGCTATGTATAGATTGCATAAACATCTGTTGGAATTTGAAACCTTTAACAAGGGATTTACTTGTTAGCGCCGTTGCACATTATGAACAGATTCTTTCAACCATTCATCTGATAAGAAGATTAATGAAATGCAGACTTTTTAAAATTAAAACTTAAAATAGATATTTTATAGCTCTACTATAATAATTATTTAAATTCATTAATAAAACAAATTTATTATTAAATATTTTACTTACATTGATTAAGATGATCTGTACTTTCGTTTTGTAAAAGCAGGAAGAGAACCAATGAAAGAATAGGTGTCCATGCATTATATTTTGACGAAGTTTAGAGTGTTCATAAATAGTTGTTAAGTTAAATAGTTGAAAAAACGTTTTCTTGTATTGTATTTTTTCCTTTTAGGAATGTATAACCAACAGTTAGAGATTTTATAATGGAAAGTAAAGAAGAAAGCTGTTGAATTTTACTTTGAGAATAACATTCTATGATTTTTGGTACAACAAACATACTATAGAGTCTTTTATGCGCGGAATGCGTACAGTGTTCCGATTGATTCAATATTTACAAAGCCAAACAATGGCTGCATTAAGGGAAATTTTTGGCAATCATAGGTCCAATCCCAGATTTTCGAATGGTACTTGCATTTTATCGAAACCAACTTAGTAGAAGTCTCTAAATTTTTAGAATGTGCAGAACTTTGGCAACCATGCTCATAAAATTCTTCAGTCAAGATACGTCGCCATTTTGCAATGTTTGTTTACTTCAATACGTTTGTACACTTCAATGTACGTATTAGCCATTTAATTTTCGTTTAACCATTCTCAGACGATCCTGATGATTCCGAGGCTGTACGTGCTGCCAATTTATGCATTTCTGTTATTTATTTGTTTTTAACGTAAGCAAAAAATAAGGTTTCTGTTCATGGGAAAATAAGGTTTCTGTTCATGGGAAAATAAGGTTTCATTGTATCCATGGGAAGAACCAATGTACGCAACAGAAACTCTGTAAAATGTCGTCAAATTACGCCAAGGTGGTTGCATTAATACGTAAGTATCTTTTGAATTTTAATTGGCCCCCACAATTTCTAGTTTTAAGGACCGCAGATTGTTTTATTTGGGGCTGTTTAAAAGGAAAGCTATATGCATATAGCGCATGAACCATATAACAGCTTAAAATCAATATTCGACGAACAATTCAAGAGTTACAACCCGAAATTCTGATATGTATTTTGGAAAATTCTCACGAGAGAACACTTTAAGTCCAGACCAATAATAGCCGTTATTAGTTATAATATTATTTTTTAACACAATGTAAACTTATTTTCATAAATTATATTCAGTATTAGGAGACTTCAATAAATAAATAATATTGAAAGAAAAAATTATCAATTATTTAAACCATAATGCTGTTTATACATAATCTTATATTTTTCTGATTGAATAAGATAGATCTTCGCGTTTATCCTTCACAAAAGGCATATAGTTTATGTACACAGCAAATGGGAATTTAAATTTTGTGTAATTTCGAATGTTTTTATTTGAATTAATGGTACGTATGAACGGCTGAAATATTAAAATAGTGAAAACATTACTGCTAATACATATAATACATTAATAATAGTCCTCAATATTAAGGTGATTGTTTATGAGGTTAATTTATAATTTTTATGAATACATTACATTTAAGTTGCTCGATACTAAATTCCATAGATCTTTTTATATATTTCACATATTCTAGACAATGCATTAGTATGCCAGATTAAAAGCCATCCATGCGTAGAGTTAGTTTGCAATATGCATACGAGATTACATTGGCTAAAGATCTGTAAATTTCTAAATCCTAATATTATATAAGTTTCTAAAATCTAAATAAAAGCGAGTTAAATTTAACCTATATATACTAGACTGAAATGGTAAAAGATTTTATAAA